TAAAACTTTCCTTGTTCAATTATTTAACTTTCTTTCAAGTATAACAGTTTTTCTATTTTCTTCTCTAGATATATATCTGTTATATATATATTTTTTTTTACTAAGTCAGCTTAGGAGATATTATTATTATTATATTTTTATATTTTTGTATTTTTATATATTTATATTTTTATTTTATTATATTTTTATATATTTAATATTTTTATATTTTTATATTTTTATATTTTTATATTATTATATTAATATATTATTATTATTATTATTATTATTATTATTATTATTATTAAGCTTATCGGTTAGGATATATTTTTCAATTTATTTTAAAATTGCTATATAGTAGCAAAAAAAAAAAAAAAAGGAAAATGTAAAAGATTATTTTATTTCAAAAAGTTTTCTTATTAAAATTGTGTCAAGCTTTATATTTTCAAGATATATAATTTGCAATAACATTTTATTAAACGCTAACTAATAGTGACATAAATTCGAGGGTCCGCATCATGTTTGTGGCTTAATAGAATAATATTTTATTCAACAAAAACACTGAACAAAAAATTTTCAAGATGACTAAAGCGCTCCAAATATAGTATATATAGAATACTTTTTAAATTATTAAGAATATTTTGACCTTAATTTATCTACTGTATAATAGGTATATAAATAGTTCTTAAATTATTCTGAAAATAAATTCATAATGACAAGTTTTTTTTTTATTATTATTATTATTATTATTTTTATTATTATTATTATTATTATTATTATTATTTTTTATTGTTATTAGTATTAGTTTATTATTATTGTTTATTATTAAATTAATAAATTATTAATATGAATAATAATATAATTGTAATTATCATATGAATATTTAATTTTTATTTATAATAAATACCGCACACAGTACCATTTGAACTTGTCATCTTTGTCATGTGAATGAAGTTATATTCGATAATATCAATCAGTGACATTCCTTTGTGTTACAAATATTTTCAACACTGACGTATCATGTTTGGAACAAAATTAGGGCACTCTAAGGCATAGATAGTGGAAAATTAAATTGAACTTGCATATATAACTACTTGGCAAGTTCATAAGTTGTTTACTAATATATATATATATATATATATATGATTCTATATTATTAGAGAAAGGAATTTTTTCTATACACACTATAGTTTTTTTTTTTTTTTTTTTTGAAAATCGTAAATAAGTTACTATTTTTGCTTTGAAAATTTTTCACTTGATGATGAAAAAAGAACATTCATGTCATATTCAAAATTTCGATACACAAAAAAAAAAAAAAAAATAAAGAATAGGTTTCAATTTTAAAATACATTTTCCATACGAAAACACATTTTTCCTTCAGTTTCGAAAAAGTTCCAAAACTATAAACATCTTAATCTTGTTGTGCTCTGTACTTAGAATTTAAAAAAAAAAAAAAATTATTCATACATCCAGCGAATTATTTTTTTTTTATATCAACATTCAAAAATAAAAATATATTTCCCTTAGAGCCTAATAATTTTATTTAATTTTAAATAAAGAAAAAAATTAACAAATTTTTTTTAACTCTATTTGAAACAAATAAATATTTATTTTATTCTGTAAACAAATAATATGGTGTAATTTTGTAAAAAAAAATAAAAATACGGAGAAAACTAAATGTTTCAATCCACATTTTTCATGGTATGTCAAAAAAATATTTTATTATCTTCATTTTTAAAAAAATGATTCTTTATTCAAAATAATAATTAAAGAAATAAACTGATCTCTGCAAATATTTATTTTTAATTTTTTTTTTTTTTTTTTTTTTTTTAACAAAAAAAATCACTGTAAAGATAAAATTAAAAATTAATTTTTGAAAATTAGTAAATAAAATTTGGAATGACTAAACAAAAAACAATTTAATGCTAACTAAAACGAACTAACAAAATTGACTTTCAAATTTTTTATCTAAAAAAAGGAGGAAGAAAAAAATTATTAATAAGACCTCTTGAACTGGAGATAAAATTCACAAATAAAATAATATTTTCAAAATAGATATATATATATATATATATATATATATATATATATATTTAAAAAAACTGGGTCGACCAACCTTCTTGAAATGCAATATAAACAGCCTAACTTCTCGAGTGACATGAATTCTTTTGAATACCTGTGACTGAATTTTAATAGTAAAATATATGTAACGCAACTCGATTTTTCTCCTACTTTTTTTTTCTACAATGGAATTTTCAGTGTAAAGAAAATTTCTATATATCTCAAGTTAAACATTTTTCTAAACTCTCAAAAAGATGAAATTGTATCACATAAAAATACATTTACACTATTTTTAGAAAAAAAAAAAATTTCGTATATTTTAAATGAAATATTTTCTGTTCAATATATATATATATATATATATATATATATATATATATATATATATATATATATACAGAAAGCAATTAATAACATTGATTTTCTTCTTTCAAATACTCATTCACGTTCTTTAAAAAAGAAAAAAAAAATTGGTTTTGAAAAGAAATGAAAAGGTGTATAATAAACGAGGAAATGAGTTTTTGTCGAAGAAAATCACCTACTCTTTTTTTTTTTAAAAAAAAGTTTTGAAATTGATGTATATTGTTTTGTACAGTAACATTTTTCATAAAAAAATCTTCTTTTGTTAATATTTAAATAATAATTTAAAAATTCATATATATATATATATACAAATATAACAAATAACATAAATGGAGAATATTTTTTTCATACAATATTTTTTTTGTATAATTTTTTTTTAATAAATAAATTTTTTTGTATAATTTTTTTTTTTAATAAATAAATTTTTTTTATTACAATTGTATTTAAATATAATCATAAAGTGTAAAAAATTCAAAAAAAAAAAAAAAAAGGGACAGAAAAAAATTGTAAACTTCAAAACATGTGTAAATTTCTTAAATTTTATTGCACAAATTCCAATATGGCAAAGAATTATCTACTCCTTTGTGAAAATTTACTGTGAAGCAAATTTCAAATATAAAACAAGGGGGAGAGTTGGCTTTTCAAGTCAAGAGTAGTCATTCTTCCTTTTTATCTCGATTTATTGATGCGGATTCCACAAATAACGTTGAGATCACGTCAAGCTGATGATCTTCTCTCGATATCTGTAATCAAATAAAAAGTTACTCACTCAGCAGCTTGTCGTGAGAAATAACTTTTATTGGATCTCCCTTATAAATTCACCCCTTTCTCACAGAGAAAAAAAAAATAATAATAATTCCAATGATTTTTTTTTTTTTAAACAAAAATTTATATTCAAATTGAAAATAAAAAAAAAATAATAAAATAAAAAAAATAATTTTGCAATTAATTAAAAAAAACGAAGAGAATTTTTTAATTAAATTCTTTTTCATCATTAAATTAATTATTTTACAAGTTTTTTACTTTTTTGGAGTAAATTCTTCATTATAAAGTTTCTCAATTGACAAATCTTCAAAAGTAAGATGCAAAAGTTGCTTTTAATCAAAGGAATACCACTGTTAATCAATTTTGAACAAGGCTTTTCATCCTGTTTAATATTCTCATATCTAATTTTCTACTGCAATGATTATTCATCCAATATAGAAGCGCTTTGAATTTATTATCGGGGAAAATTTCGAACTAATTATTATAAAGTGATAAAAAAAAAAATATTTATTTTATTCAATCATTTTTTTTTTTTTTTGCTGTGAGGAGAAAAATCTTAAATGTAATTCCAAAATATTAAAAAACTTTTATAACGCACCAAAAAAATATTTATTAGTAAAAGCTGAAAGAGAAAAAAATTCATTAGTAAAACCTGAAATAGAAAAACATTCATTAGTATATAAAACCTAAAAAAAATTCATTATTAGTAAAAAAAAAAAATTAAATAAAAAAAATAGTAAAAAAAATTAAAAAAAAAACAATTCATTTTTCCTAATGTAAATTTGTCGCTGTTTTATATTTATTATTCAAATATTTGTAGACAAAATAAATAAAAGCCATGAATAATTTTAATAGTAACGTATAGCAGAGAATAATTAAATTTCGATTTGAGAACAATTACTTTTCATATATATATAAATAATTGAAATATATATTTACCCTTGACCATTCGACCATATAAATATATATATACTTCCCCTTTAGAACAATAATAAAGCTTTTCATTAGTTTAATAATCCAGACATTGTTTTTAAATTAAATAAACTTTTCATCTAAAACAAAAACAATTCGTATACTATTATAATTATGTTTCCGCGTGAAAAAATAATTTTGTCTAAAACAAATAGTTTTGACATTTTCGAAATTATGAATAAAAAAAAAAAGAGATTAATTTTCAACCTATAAATAATTAAATTTCCAAAAAACGATTTTTGTTTTATAAATATATATATTTAATATTTTTTTTAATAAAATATAAATTAATATATAATATAATAAATATAATTTTATAAATGAAATAAAAATATTTTCTCTTATTTCCCACAAATCACTATTGAATTAGATTTAAATATTTTCTAAAGCAAAAAAAAAAAAAAGAAAATAGATAAAAAACTTAAAAAGTAACTCGTTCTATAAATGGAAGAAAAACCTTTTATCTCGCCTTATAAATCCTATCTTAATACTAATGACATGAAATAGTTAAAGGCTTTTAAGCACCTCTACGTAAAATATTGCTGATGAAGTTATTCTTAATTTGACATTTTTTTTTTTTTTTTTTTTTTTTTTATTAATGACACGAATTATATTGACCTCGTGAAAGATGAGAATTAACCAGACAGTGATTAATTTTTCCACGTAATGAAAAATGAAATTTCATTAGAAAATTTATGAGAAAATATATTAGATTTGAAAAAAAGAAGGATTATTATTTTTGCCTTTGGAATAAAATATTTTATATCAATGTGGAAATTTTATTAATTTATTAATTAAAAATTAATATTAATGAATTAATAATTTGCAAATAAAAATTAATTTTCTGTTTTTTTTTACAGATATCGAATAAGAATTTTAGCATCATCGATGAGGACAATCAGTATATTCCTTATGAGATGAGACCTGAGACATATATTGTACCAGCAGTATTTATCATTATACTGATTGTCGGCGTTGTTGGAAATGGAATTCTTGTATTTACATTGTGTCGTTATCCAAGCTTAAGAAACATTCCAAACATTTATGTGCTTTCTTTAGCACTTGGTGACCTTTTGGTGAGAAAGCTCTTCTTTTTTTTTTTTTTTCTTTTATTTGTTCATTCATCAAAATCTTTTCTTAATGTTAAAAAAATAAATAAATAAACTAGAAAAATTTTTTATAAAAATTTTTTATAAAAATTTTTTTAAAAAACCAATTTTTAAAATATAATTATATTTGAGAGACAAAGAAATTTACAAATAAGAGAAATAAAATAACTTTAGTATTATAATGTTTTGGAGTTTTCATATAAATCAAATTTCCACAAAAACTTTGTCAATGTCTCTCTTGACTTGATATTCAAAGTTTTGAGGATTTAATTACATTTCATTTATTATTTCAACTGTACAATGAAATTACAATTGTTTCAAGTTGAAAAAAAAACTAATTTTCATTAAACGAATGTAATCAAAAAGGTAATTCAAAATAGTATATATATATATATATATATATGCATTGTTACTTTGTCAACCTTTATCTTCAGAATAAATTTGCATTTCAACGGAAGCAATTGAAGGACTAATCTGATTTTACTCAAAGAGAATGAAACTCAAGTGATAGCTTTTTAACAAAAGTACAAATAAATATTATACCCGAAAATTTACTATTTTTTTTTTATCTTTTTGTATCTATTTTATTTAACCAAAAATAAAATATATAAAAATTAATAAAATTTTCTTTTATATATATATAATATATATATATATTAATAAAACTCGATATGCAGAATGCATATATTTATATAGTGATATAGTGAAATAGAAGAATGTCTCAGGAGAATATATTATACGTCTTACATATTTTAAAGATTTCCTTTGTCACTCAAATAACAGAAAAGCACGAGTTATAAAGCCAGTAATAAAAGCTTTTGTTTTGAATAAAAAAAAAAAAAAAAAAAAAAAGAAAAAATTTCACAATATCATAAGAAATATTATAAAAATTCTAATTTTTCAATATTTAAATTAAATTTCGAAATTTCAAATTTTTTATTACTACTTTAGATTTAACAAAAATAACAAAAATTATTTATATAAAAAATATAAAATTTTGTTTTTAATTTCTATAAAAAAAATTTTTTTTTTTAATCTTACATCCTTTCTTGCTTGTTTTATAAATGATATTCCCCTGACAAATCCCGCATGTTTCAATTTTATGTAAAATTTCATCACTATAGATTAAATGGAAAAAAATAATTTTTCATTTTTTTTTTTTTTTTTTTCTTCTTAAAATTTGTATATATTATTTTAAAGAATTAAATTTCAATTTTTAAATTATTTCCTTTAAATAATTTTATTTTATTTCTATTCAAATTTATTAATAAAAAAAAAAAACACAGTTTTTTTTTTTATTAATTTTTTTTTTACAAAAATTTATTTGATTTATGTTTCTGTTATTTTATATCAGGTACTAATAACATGCGTTCCATTTACATCAATTCTATATACAATCGAATCTTGGCATTGGGGATTAACAGTATGCAAGATTTCAGAATGCTCCAAGGATATATCAATAGGTGTTTCTGTTTTTACATTAACTGCTTTATCAGCAGAAAGGTAAGTCTCCATTAATTTAATTAGATACCTGTAACAAAAGAGAAATTATTATTATTATTATTATTATTATTATTATTATTATTATTATTATTATCATTATTATTATTATTATTATTACATATTATTTTTAATTTATTATTATAAAAGGCATTTTTCTTTCTCTTATACAAGAAGTAAAAAGAAATTTTTTTTTTTTACTTTTCAACATGAAAGTGCATTGAAGAATAAGATCTTACATTCTTCAATTTCAATTAAAAGCTTTCTTTTGTTCTTCTAATTTAATGTTATTCTTACCATTGCCTACAAAACTTTATATAATAATAAAAAAAAAAAATTGTTAATATTATAATAAAAAAAAAAAAGTATTTATTTCAACATTTTTAATTATGTAGTCATTATTTTCAAAACATTTACATTTTAAATAAAATTCTGCAAAAAAAATAAATAAATTTAATCTTTTAAATTTTTTTACAAAATAAATTTTTATATTTAAATTTTTCTATTAAATTAATTAATTCTATTTAATTAATTAAATAAATTATACATTTTTTGAATAGGAAAAATTTTTTTTTTTTTCTGTTGAAACAGATATTGTGCCATAGCAGATCCTTTAAGAAGTCACGTATCAGGATTAAATTCAAAGACATTGACAATATGTATTGCAATTTTGATATGGTTATTGGCAATTATTTTCGCTGTGCCTGCATTTGCATTCTCTTATGTTCGACCACAGCCTCTTAATGGAAATCATAGCATCATGATTTGCAGTCCATTTCCCAAAGATTTCGGTAAATCTATAAATAAGAAATTTGATATGCATGAAAGTTTATAGGAATATATTTTATATAAAAATTAAAAAATTAAAAAAAAAAAAAAAAATATGGAGAAGAAGACCTTCGCAATATATATATACTATTTTAAAGTAGAAAACACAATATTATTGCGGATATATTAAGGTAAACGATTGAAAATTATATATATGTAAAATTTTATTCGATATTTTCTGATAAAAAAAAACAGTTTTGTATACTTATTTCGAAATGTAGCAATTTTATAAACATTATGTATCATACAAAAAAAATATTATACTTTTTAATATTTTAATTATTATTTCCTAATATTTATTTACTATTATTTATAAATAATTATCTGTTTTTTTTTCTTAAAGGTGAAAATTACGAGAAAGGAATGATTCTTTTCAAATTCCTCGCTTATTATGCAATACCACTGTGCATTATATCAGGATTTTATTTAGGCATGGCTCGGCATCTTGAACTTTCAACTAGAAATATGCCTGGTGAAATTCCTGGCGCAACACAACATTGTGAACAAATTCGTAGCCGAAAAAAGGTTATAAAAAATTAATTTCAAATTTTTTTTTTTCGAAAAAAAATTTACTAAAATTTTTTTTTTATTTTAGGCTGGCAAAATGGTGATATCATTTGTAATAATTTTCTTCATTTGCTTTTTGCCATATCATATATTCATGCTGTGGTTCCACTTCTATCCATATTCACGTGATGTGTATGATGACTTTTGGCATGCCTTTCGGATAATCGGCTTTTGCCTCAGTTTCATTAATAGTTGTGTCAATCCCATTGCACTCTATTTTATTAGTGGTACTTTTCGAAAAAAGTAAGAAACTAATTTAATTAAAAAAATTTTTCACAAAAAAAAAAAAAAAAAAATTCAAACTATGAAAGAAAAATAATTTTTTTTTATCTTTATTTTCAAGGTATAATGAATATCTTTGTTGTTGTATTGCAAGCAGAAGAAATTCCAATAGAGAATTATCACGCTCAAGAGGAAATAATACGAGTAGAAATTTTGAAACAAGTTTTAATTCAACTTTTCGACGAAATACTCAAGAATTGAATTCCGTTGCATTATTGGTTTGGTGAAACGAAACCCCACCAAATATCACAAATTTTTTCAAAATCCACTCTCGCGTTCAACGACATCCTCCTCGAAATGTATAAAGTTTAAAAAAAAAAAAACCTCCCTTTAATATTTAATAAATTATATACACATCGATAATTATATATAATTACCATTATAAAAAAATATAAATGTAATATCAATTCTTTAATTACTTAAAATTTTAAATTTTTTTATAAAAAAAAAGAAGTAGGTCTTCATTTATAAACCAAAAAAAAAAAATTGTATAAGAAACTAATTGAAAAAATGCGCGCAAAATTACCTAGATATTATTCCTTATATTAAATAATTAATGTAATTTACTCTCTAAATCTGAATTAGTAATTTAAATTCACTCACTTTTTGCTTTTGAATTAATTAAATTTTACTAATACGATAAAAAAAGGTTTTTTTTACAATTAATCCTAAATCTGTATTAATAATTTAACTAATTTGAATTAATGACTCGCTTTCGAATTAATTAAATTATACTAATTCGATAGTAAAGAAAAATTTTATACTATATTAGTTAAATTCTACAAATTTAAATTAGTTAAAATTTGTACTAATTCAAAATTTAGAGAGTAAAACTTTTAGCATTATCAATAAACTTGGAATATAAATTTAAGAACTAAGAAATATATTTATAGCTATTATATATATATATATATATATATATATATATATATATATATATCCGATTTTCACGAAACTCAAAATTTTCCACATTAATTAAAAAGACATTAAAAATAGAATTAAATTTTCAATATTTTCTCAATTTATAGAAAAAATAATTGAAAATAAAATTTTTTATTATTTTCCATTCACTGAAAGAAATATATAAATATAATAGGATATTTTTTATATATTTTGTAATATTTATTCATAGTTTCATTAATGTGATTAATTTAAACTAATTTACAAGATAACATAATTTTAAGATAAAAAAATTATATTTTTTACTATTATTTTGTTTTTACTGCTTCTTTTGATAATTAGACAGTATTATAATATATAATAATAAAAACTAATATATGTACTATTATGAATTAATTGTTAAAATAGTTATATTAAGAAAAGTTTTAATAAATAAAGAAATAATGAAAAAAATAATTTTTGTACGTAATTAAATTTTTTTTTTTTTTTTAATTTTTTTCAAACTTGATCAAAAATTAAAATAGTATTAATAAACATTGGAGTGAAACGTTAGAAATCATTATTTAAACATTTTTAACTTTTTTTTGATAAGATAAATAAAAATTTAAACACTAGACGCTAAATAAGATGTCAAAATGATTAACGTTCTGACATCAAAGAATTATATACCTATGAGCGTTTTATCAAACATCTCGGAAAAAAATTTTAAACTTGGTACATTATCTCTTCATACTCTCTGTTATGAGTTTGTGTCTTTTTAATCAGATCTGGAAATTTTTTTTTTTTTAATTAATTTTTATTTATCATTTTTCTAAAATGAAATTTATTTAAAATTTATTTTTATTAAAATATGTGTAGCAATTATCAACAAGTCTCTATTAATGATGAAACACTGGAAAATGATAAATCAAAATCACGAAATCATATTCTACAATTTATTGCCACAATTAGCGGTATGTTTATTTCAATTATTATTAAAATTATTAATTATTAATTATTAATTATTAATTATTAATTATTAATTATTAATTATTAATTATTAATTTTTATTTATTAAATTTAAATAGTTATTTATATATTTTTGTAATTAATTTAAGTATGTATCCTGACAATTGGAAATGGAACAGTCGACTCATGGACATCTCCGGCACTTCCATTTTTGACAAGTAATCATTCATCATTTCCGGTGACAAATTTACAAGGCTCATGGATAGCATCAACTTCCGATCTTGGCTCAGCAATGGGAAATTTATTAACGCCAATTTTTTCAACTTTTATGGGTCGAAAATATTCATTATTAATATTTGCCATAATGGAATTAATTTCTTGGACAATGATAATTTTAGCAAATAACATAATAATGTTATATACAGCTCGTTTCATTAGTGGTGTATCATGTACGCTTGCAATTAGTTTCACAACAATTTATATTGGTGAAATTTCTGGCAAAGAAATAAGAGGAATTTTATTATTAATAGTTCGTATTTCAACTCAATTTGGTAGTTTATTTGTAAAAATTATTGGCGCATATCTCACATATCAAATGATGAATATGGCAATGATTTTAATTTTATTACCATTTTTTTTTACATTTACATTTATACCAGAGAGTCCATATTATTTATTATTTAAAAATCAAAAAAATGATGCACGAAAGACAATTATTAAACTTAATGGTACTGATAATTTGGAAATAATTAATTTTGAAATTGAACGCTTACAGGAAACAGTGAATGAAAATAAAATTAATGAAAAATGTGCAATTTGGAATTTATTTTTTATAGAAGGAAATAGAAAAAGTTTTTTTATTGTACTAATTGTATGGTGGACAAAATTTTTATCAGGCGACACATCTATTGATGCTTATACACAAGAGATATTTGCTTATAGTGATTTTTTTCTATCGCCAAAATATTCAACAATTATTTATGCAGCAATCACTGTTATCATTCCTCTTATTGTTACTCGACTAATTGAACGAGTTGGTAGGAAAAAAATATTTTTTCTCTCTGGTTTATTTTCTGCATTTGGTTTAACAATTGTGGGTTTATTTTTTTTTTTTAAATTCTACATGCAAATTGATATGAAATCATTTAGTTGGATTCCATTTGTTTTCTTAATATTTTATAATATTGCATCGAATTGCGGTTGTATAACTTATGTAATAACTGGCGAAATGTTTGCACTTAATATTAAGGAAATTGCCGTGACGTGCGTTACAATTACAAATGATTTATTAGCATTTTTTGTTAAAGTTATTTTTCATTGGATGAATAATAATACTGGGATATATACAACATTTTGGATGTATGCATTATTCAGTATTATTGGATCGAGTCTTTTTTTTATTATCGCTCCCGAAACAAAGGGAAAAACATTGGAGGAGATTCAAGATATTTTACATTCGAGAAAGAAAAAAAATCAAGAAGAATTAATCAATTAAGAAATTAAACAAATTATCATTTTTGTTCTTATTTTACAATAAATGAATAAATAATTTATTAACTAATTTTTTTTGTAAATTTTTTCTTTTTTTTTTTTTGCTGAAATGGAATTGCATTGTATTTAAATCTCAGAATTATCTATGTATTATAAAATACAATATTTCTGTTATACTTGAAAATAGGCACAGCTGTTTGAATAATGACTGGGACACAACCGTCACTGGTTATGGGGTCGACTTGCAGCTGTGAGGGGTTTTTTTTTTTTTCCTATGGTGGGGGGTTCATGGCACGCGACAACACTGCATCCCTCAATCACCCCCATAACATTCACTCGCATTCTACGTTTTATTAACGGTCAGTTCAGATTCATTTACAGTGTGTTACTCTAGTCATATTTTATTCTTCATTTTCTTTGTTGTAAATTACTTTTTCATAAATTACAACAATTAGAAAATAAATTTTTTTTTTTAATTTGTAACGTTAAAAAGTGTAAAATCATTGTGCGAGAAATATTTTTGAAAAATAATTATATTAATAATTCGCGTTGTTCGTGAAAAATTGCACTTTAGGATTATAAATATTATCAAAATAGAAAAAATTGTGAGAAAAATATTTTAGTGAGTTTTATTATAGGTTCATGAATAAATATAAAACAAAAAATGAAGAGATCTTCGTCTGTAAGTTTATTTGTTTAAAAAATAATTTAAATTAAAATTTGGAAAATAATTTTGTAATTTTTTATTTTAGGCTCCTTGTTTAGCGGAAGAAACATCTAACGATTCAAAAAGAATAAAAACGGAAAATAATTCAAATGTAAGTTTGAATAAATTATAAGAAATAAAATATGTATTAATTAAAAATATTTAAATATTTTTATATTTAAGGGTCCAAATACTCGGGAATATCTTCAATTGGCACTTGCCAAAGTTCTTGAATTACAAAGACAAATTAAAGAAGACACCTATGATAACACCAGTGATTTAGGTAAAAAAAAAAAGAATTTTAATTTTTTTTTTTTTTTAATTCTTTGAAAAAGATTGAAAATTTATTATTTGACATAGGTGATTCGGATAATGAAGAAGAAGTTTTCAAAGAAGTTGTGATAAAAGTTTTTAAGGATCTTCCAGGTACATCGAAAAGTGTGAATTCAATGATAGAAAATGCCATTAAAGCACGACATCCAGAACTCGATGCAATTCAAAGTAAAAGCATTCAGTTAAGCGGATATGATACATGTCGACGAGTGGCAGTCGATTTTATGAAAAATGTTGTCAAATACACGCCCAAGATTGAAAACAACACAAGATCATTTCATCGTGCTATTTATTCTGATGTCAAAACAGTTAATTATAAAAGAGAATTTATTGAAAATAGAAATTCTAATCAATTTATAACAAATCAAAGGCAAGAAACAATATCTTCTGATTATGAAATAAAATCGAGAATGCTTAAAAGTTTAGATCTTCATCTTGCTATTAAACAAAGAGATTATACAGCCAGATTAATGAGGCACTAAACAATTTATTTTTTTTATATTCTAGTCTTCAAAATTTTTGAAAATTATAGTATTTTTAATTGTTTCGATTTTAGATACTGAAATTTTTTCATTTTTAACAAAAAAATTAGAAAAAAAATTTTTTGTTACTAAAAAAAAATTCAAATTACATTTTTCTAGTCAACAATGTTTTTCACATCTAGTCACATACTGAAATAATTATTTATTTATTATATAAAAATTTGTATTTATTAAATCGCTATAATAAAATATACTATTTATCTAGTCAGAACAATTGGAAAAATTATTCAAAACTTCCTTTTCCAATTAAAAATTATTATTTTTTTTTTTTTATCTATTTTAAAAAGAAAAATATTTTACAAAAACGGTTAGAAAAGAAAGGTTGCAAATTTTTTATATTAAAAAATTATATTTATTTTTACGTTACAATAAAAAAACATGTCTATCTGACTAACATTATTAATTTCTAAAATTAATATTTTTGTTTACGTATTTATTTATAGTGTAATTATTTGCATAAATTAAAAAAAAAATTATATTTCTTTTTACGCTCATTGGAGCCAATAGCATGCATATTATATAATTAAAAATGATGCCGAAATCTATATAATACTAATATATATATATATATATATATATATATATATATATATATATATATATATATATTTCTATTTTTCACTATTTTTTTTTCTATCATCTCAGATTTCGTAAAATTCTATAAAAAAACAACAACATTGAATTTTCAAGTATATTCAGTAATTTCTATAAAATATATTTATATTCTGTCGAAAATTTTTCATTGTTTTTTTTTTAAATTTTTATTCCTTCTTTGCTTTTTTTAAATCTAGCAATTATCTGAATATTGCCTGAAGAATTTATAAATTTTCTCAAGAGATAATGTATATATATATATATATACTGAATTTGCTCCTGTTGCCAATAAATAATTGATAAATTATCAATAAAAAGGAACTCTCTTTCATTCAATTTTTTTTCATACACTCTCTATCAGTCTCTCAATATTAAATATACTGTTATTTTTTTTTCGTAAAGGCGTATTGACTCAGCGTTTTGCAATATAATAATTTGTCGCGAGTCTAATAACGTAAAATTTTCTTTTATTATGCGCATTTATGCGGATTTTTTTCTAAATTCGTTTTAACGAAAAAAATTCTTTCAAATTGAATTGTAAAAAAAAATTTTAATTTAATTTTTTTTTTTTTTTATTAAGAAATATTACATATTTCACCAAGGATCTAGAAATTTTTATTATATAAAGTAGAAAAATTAATCTGAATAAATTTAACGAAATAAAACATAACAAAATCTTAAAATTATTCAATAATTTCTCGAAAATTTAAAAAAAAAAAATTTTTTATCAAAAATTTCTGTTTATAAAGAAACAAATTTTTCACTAAATTGAAAATATTCTTGTGAAAGAATTTTTTTGCGAAAGGATCGTCCAAATATTTTTTTTTAAAATATCTAGGTTTTCTTTTTTTTTAAATACATTAGTATAATATATTCATTTTTTTTGTACTTGAGAGAAAATTTTCCCATTTTCAATATATATATATATATATTTATCACAGTCAAAAAAGTCAAAAAAATGTTTATCGTAAAAATTTGATCCCGAGATATTTTTAATATAGTTTGGAAACGATCCTTCTTGGGACAAAAAAAAAATGATACCAATCGGTATTATGGGATTTAGAAAAAAAAATTCTTATCATTTTCTAAAAATAATACACAGAAATTACTTCATTGAAACTTATAGTTAAACTACGAAGTATTTTTTACATTGATACTGCTATTATTTGTAGAGGGCCAGGGTAAATTTCTATTACACCATTATTTTAAAATCAAGAATTAATTCCACTTTCAAAAAAAAAAATAGTTCTTATTTTCCGTTATCTCGATTAAATTTTTCATTCCTTTCTTGTTTTCAAAAAAAAAAAAAAATGGTCTAAAATAATATTTTGTTTTCAAATACAAATTATTTCAAAAATATTTCAAGATTATTTGAGTTATATTATGATTATGGATTTTGAATTTTTTTTTCTTTTTTAATAAAAAAAAGGTTGAAAATCCTAGAAAGTTGAAATCGAATAATTATAATGTAAATTATAAAAATCATTGAATTTTTCAATTCTTTTTCGAAAAAAAAAGAAACAAATTAATGCTGCTGAACGAGAGTGGGACCACTGCCGGGATTTCTCCAGGGATCTGGAATATCATAATGAGCTGGAACAGTTAGTAAAGCATCATCAGATGTTCTATTGGCATTGCAATTTTTAGGCTTCATACGCGTGGTATTGACGCATTCAATTGGAAGTTTAATAAATTCGAGTTTATAATTATACCCTTGGCTCGACATTCGAATAATTGTGTGCAATGGTACTTCCATATAAGGCAATTCTTCTGGTGTTTTATCCATAAAATAGCCAATAATACAACGTAAAATTGCCTGATGTGATATTAATAAAACATTATTTGCCTCTTGTAATTCAGCAATAACAGGCTCAACACGCAGCATTGTATCCACATAACTCTCACCCCATGGATAACGATATCGAAGTTTATCTTGATCTCGCCATGCAAATTCCTGTAAAAAATTTAAAATTTGAAAAAATATGAAAGAATTTAAAAAAGAAAAAAATTGTGAATTTTATTTCAAAACCTGTGGATATTGTTCTTGCATTTCTTCATATGATAGTCCTTCACAAACACCGGCATTTAATTCATTTAATGCAGCTACATGCTCCTGTGGTGCTTCAATTCCTCTGGCTGTTGCTATTGTTCTTCGAAGACGACTTGTAAGAACTCGAAGATCCTGTATGTGCATTGCATTAATATGTGAAGCCAATGCTTGTGCGTAACGTTCACCACGTGCACTTAATACAGCATCACCACCTATTTTTCCAAGAACATTGTACTCACTCTCGCCATGCTGAAAATAAATTAAATTTTTTTTTTTAAATTAATATATTTCAAATTTTTTTGAAAAAATTCAACTCACTCGAGAGAAGTATAATGTGTGTGACTTTAAATGAATACTGCCCAAATAACCAAGTATCATTGTTTCAACATGGCCAGTGACCTTGTGCGTACTGATATTCATTGTAGCAGTATCAATTTTAATTCTTGGATAATTCTTTTCTTCCATTGGTTTATAGGCCATTTTATAGTGCGCTATTTTGAGACTTAGATCGTTTAACGCATTCTCCGGACTCATGCCACAATAATCAGCGCTATATTCAAGAATTTGTCTATAATTCTCCTCGAGGACAATTGAATCATCGCAAATGCATTCAATGAAAAGAACACGATATCCAAGTTGTGAGGAAAAATGATCGTATACCTCGGAGCGTTGCTCGTGTGTCACTAGTGTTGCATCCAAAATCTTTAAAATAAAATTATTATAATTTATTTTTAAAATTAATTATTAACTATTAAATATAATATAATTAAAAAATTTAATAAATTAAAAAAATACCTACAGCTACAGAATTTCCGGATGCAAGCCAAGAAGCACAATCTTGCATTGCATCTCGTTGTGCCAGGGCTCTTAAGGCAACATTTGCAGCATGATCTGGTCGGAAAAGCTCATGTGACGCATAAGGCTCAAGTCTCTTTCTTCGATAGTTGCTTACACTCATCACTGTAAATAATTTTTTTTTTTTTAATTTTTAATTTCAAAAATATAATTTTTTAACTGTAAAAAAAATTTCTCACATACCTTTGGCAGTTTCACCATTCCAATTCAGTCTTCGAGTAAGAGAGTGGGCAATTTGACTTTTTCCTCGTGCTGGAAGACCACAAAACGCAATTATAACACCAGCAAATTTTCGAGGTGGTTTTGTCACCCCTGAAGTTCTCACTGGCTTCTCTTGATTAATTTCTGTAATCAATAAATTAATAATAAATAATTTTAATAAAAAAAAAATATTTCGAAAAAAAATTTTTTTTTAATAATTCTCGATTCATGATAATTTCAACAATTATTTTGTATATTTTAATTTTTTCCCAATGAAAATAAAAATTAGAAGAATATTTCTTCTTATTATTATTATTGCATTAATCTTTATTGTACCCATCATCTATAAATATTATATATTTTGGCATTGCGAGAAATGTACGCATATTTTTCTGAATTGGCTGTGTGCCAAAAAAATTTTCCACTAAAAATTTCAAAAATTTTTTTAAAGAAGAAAAAAAAAGAATTTTTTGCAAAAAAAAATCTATTACATAATTAGCTAGAAATTAATTACAAAAATATTGTTTACAAAAAAAAATGATTAAATTGTAATTATTCTGATTTCTACTTCAATATACATAATGAATGAAGTAATCGAATGTTTGATAATCAAACAACTTTTGACCTCGTATATATATATATATATATATATATATATATTAGATTTCAATGTCCACAAAAAAAAAGTATAGTGAAAAAAGTTTGGGATATATATAAATAACAAATTTTGTATATTTATATAATGTATATGAATAATATATATATAAATATGTTAATTATAATGGTACGAGTAACATTTTCCTTGCTCGACAACATCTAAAATGAAAAACGTTTGACACGTGGAATTGTGAAATAGCCAAGTGCAAGCATTTAAATTGGCCGCAACAAATAAATAATATCAGTAAACAAATTTTTTTTTATCAAATTGCTCTATACACACCTAATTAAAAAAAAAATTTACAAAAAAAAGACTTTTCGACTAATTAATTAAATTTCTATATTATAAATTAAATAATAAATCACTCCTTTAATTAAATAATAATAGCAGATGAATATTTCAAAATTTACAGAAAAAATTTCTTATTAACCCAATTTTGCTCACCTATGACGCACATAATGAAAAATATAAAGTACTGTTTGAAAAAAAAAAACACTTCGTTTATTGTAACTCAAAATCTATATGCATTATCAAATACTCGAATTTTTTTTAAAAATTATTTACAATTATTTTTTTTTTTAATATTTTACAAAAAAAAATAAATTTTCATCAATAATTAATTTTTCAAAATTTTAAAAATAAAATCCCGCTGTATTCCCATATATATATATAAAACACTATATCAGGAATATTTTTTGTAATTAACAATAAAAATAGTTTCTCGGCATTTAGACATGTGTGTACAAAGGCTTTGTTAATATTATACTGAAGCTATTTGACGGTCTTCCTTTTGTATTAATGCTAAACAGTCACGTATCAAATTAATTAGGAACCTACGAATTTATTTAGTATAAAAAATTATTTAGCAAAAATTCATTAACAAAATGCTAATAATGTTTATATGAAAAATTGTAATAATTACATTTATATTTAGAAGGATTAAAAATCATCTAAGACAAAATAATAATAATCAAGAAAATAAATTATATATCATCAAATTAATCGTAAATGGAAAAAATTTTATACGATTATAATTATTACAAAAATTATAATTGTCTCCTATTGTTTAATGTTCAAAATGACTAAACAATTACTATCCGGTTTTCATAATAATAATGTTAGTAAAATATCTCACAGTATTGAAATCATAAAATTACTTGTCATTATCAATTTTTAATTATTATTTTTTAAAAACTTAAAAAAAAATGTCACGTGTTTTGAAAAGAGTTTTTTTTTTTGTGAATAGATTCCAAGAGTCATTAATGATTGCAGTTACATCAGTATCAAATAATTGTCATTCAATTTTATTGTCCATACTACCATTATGACGCACCTTAAAAAAAAAAAAAAAAAATTATCAGGGTCTTGTCTATTACCATCAGTTTAAACTAAATAGACCATATACACGTCAATAAATTCAGTCCCCCGTGAAACGTCGTTTCTCGTTGATCCATCTCAACAAGCGTTCAACATCCAATTAAAAAATTTATTAAATTACCTACATTATGTTTTAGAAACCTGACAAGTTTTTTTTTCACATAAGACAAATTTAATGTATAAAAAAAAATTGTCATTTATTTTTAATTAAAAAAAAAATATTTTTTTTAATGACAATATTGAAATTACTACTTTAATATATCGGAAAATAATTTAATTAAAAAAAAAAAAATACAATATAACGCAATGAAAAAATAATCATTTATCAAAAATAAAATAATTTAAAAATATTGTTTCATTAATATCGAATATTTGACAATGATAATAATAATAATAGTGTTATAATTAGAAACTATTATCATGTAACAAATCATTAATTTTTACAGTTGTTAAGTCTCAAGAAAGATAAAAAAAGAAAAAGTGATTTGATATTGATTTTGGTGGGATCAAATTTCATATTGAAAGAAAGTGACAAGATTATATATATATATAGAGAGAGTGACTTCAAGAAGACATAAAAAAGTTTAGTGAGTTTGATATATATAATTTTTACATAATAATATAAATTATTAAAAAAAGAAAATGTTTACGTAATTACAATAAATTTATAAGGAAAAAATAAAAAATTAAGTATTTTTAATGAAAGAAACAAAAATAATCAAGTACATTAAAAGCGAAAACAAATTTCATTACGTTTTATCTGCAAAAACGTCAATGCGCGTCTATATTTTTATAAAATATTACTCATTTTTATAATTACATTTTAAATTGAATATAAAAAAAACTATCAGGGAAATAACAAGAAATAAATAACAAAATGTTTTCTTGGTGAAGAAATGAAAAAAAAACACACAATTATTAATTATATGGAATTAGTGATAAAATATCAATTACCAATTATCTTTTGTCAGAAAAAATCCTGTACTACTGATATAAATATTAATTAATATATTTACCTTTGAATTTTTATATATTATTTATTTATTCAATAAATTATTATTTTTACCAAAAAAAATTTTTTTTACAAAATACATTTTTTTATTAATTCAATAATTCAATATATTAATAAATAATAAATTAATAATTAGGTAATAAATTTATTTCAAGGTAATTAATATTTGAAATAATTTTCACAAATGAAAAAAAATTTTCTGCATTTTTTTCTCGTAAGCAGTTATATTTTTTCATCAACACAATTCAAAGTGCATAGATTGGGTAATTTTATCTGTAAAAATATATCTCTTTTTTCATCACTATAATATATAATTTCTACATTGTTTTTTTTTTTTTTTTTTTTATAAAGAGAAAAAAATATTTTACTTCTCGAAGATAAAAACAGTTTTTTGTAATTTTTTTTTTTTTTTGAAGATTTTTTTAATTTTAATACTCTTCTAATTATTGTACTAATGTCAGTTACTATTTTTACAAATTTTAATTATAGAAAACAATAGAATAATTTGAATGATAATATTTTCTTATCTATCAGACAAAAGTAATTTAAATTTTTATCAAAGTAATCAATAGACATTAACAATTGTAAGATAAAGTTTATTTATGATAATGTTGCCTGGACGAAATTTATTAAAAATGTTTAGAAAAAAATTATTTCTTTTTTAGAAAAATTATATAATCAAATAAATTATTTATAAAATTTCATGTATTTATAAAAAAAACAAATAAATACAAATAAATAAAAATTTGTTACATTACTTTTCATTCTTATCAGTTTATCAATGAAAATGATGTAAAAAAAAATAATTATCAACTTCTTTAGACACGTTTCTGTTCTATTTACTGTTTTTCAATAAATTACTTGTTTTTCTCAATATTTTCAAAAGTTTTCTATTTATGAATTTTCAAATAAATCAAAAATTTTGTTGACTTTCTGCAAACTTTACATTACATAATTCATTTACGTACATATATTAGTATGCATAGACATTATTTACGCGAATGATTAAAACATTAAAAATAGCAGCAAAAAAATGGGATCTATTTTTTTTGTTTTTGTAAAAAGGAATTAGACTTTGATATTCACGTTCTGATCACGAGACCGGATGTTATTAATTTATTTATTCATATTTTATGCTGAATAACTAATTTTTTTTTTTTACGTAAGATAATAAAATTTTAATTGTGAAAAAATAGAAATTTTTCAAAATGTAAACAAAAAAAATTTTTTTTATACCATTTTTATTGCTATTATATGGTAAAATGAGAGGGGAGAGAAAACAAAAACTGCTCTTCTTCTATATTTAGCTTCTGCAAAAAAAAATCTAAGAATCTACTGCTCCAAGTTGTTTTTGAATACTTCTTTGCAAAACAGAATATGGCTTCCATAATAATTAGAAAGTTTTAAATGAGTCAATGAACCAGTTTAATATCATTCGATAAAATGTGTCAATTTTAAAATAATTAATACAAAATAAAATTGTTTTTAGTAAAAAAAAAATAAACCAAGCTGCAAGATTTTTTAATTTTTTTTTTTTTTTATACCAGTCTTCAAAGTAAATTTGATTTTCCATCATTTAAAAAAAAAAAAAAAAAAAATCATTGGATTTCCAATTTTTCATTTTAACTACGTCGCTATTTCATTTTGGCTCAACCTTGTTCTATATGCTTTTTAACAGCAATGTGTAATGCGATTGCGCTACTGCAAAAAAAAAAAAAAAAAAAAACATTATATTTACCTTCAATAATTTTGTCCTCAACAATTGTAGGTGCCATGATTGTTGAATTTTTTTTCATATTTTCACCAATAACATTATCATCATCATCCTGCATGATTCCTGCTTGTAATGCTAATTTTCTAACAGCAACACAATAACCCAAAATGGGTCCAGCCAATAAATCCAAACAGGCAGCAACCCAAGGCATTCCCGTTAATGGAAAATTATTTAAATGCCGATTAATCGGCTCTTCTTTAATCTTCGAATCCGTTTTCCCCTCAAAACAATAACAAAAGAAAAAAAAAAAAGACGAAAAAAATCAAAAATTTATCTGATGTTCAAATATATACTTTCTGACCCTTTTGCCCTCTACTTTTTCTTTCTTTCTTTTTTTTTTTATGGCACTGAATATTTATCACAGATGAGGATCGCTAACTTCTTCGAGATACAATTCTTCAGAAAAATGATCACTACTCGTGTGCCGTATAATGGACAAAAGGTCCTCCCTCATTCCAATTTGCTTGATCCTTACTTCCGGAGCCAGTTTGTGAGATTCGCTTTCAATCACTCGCGCGTGAACTTGAAAAATCGTCTTATTCCAAAAAGACGAGATTATAATTTTTTTTTTCGACCCAAAAAAAAATTGGATTTACATAGTCAACTTTTTTTTTTATCGTTCCTTATATTTGGTTTTGATTTCCAAATGGACTTCCTACCTCAAGTATTTGGATATTAAGGTGTAATCGATCTTCACTGTTTTTTTTTTCTCCCCCTTTTTCCCTATATGAAACCAAATAATTTGATTTCAATTTTTTTTTTTCGCTGATAATTTTTTTTTTTTGTGATATTTTTCTAAATCGAATCTTCTTGACAATTGCAAAAAAGAATCTTGACCTAGATTTTTGGAGCTTCAATTTTAGTGCGAAAATCACTGGAAAAGAACAATCCTCTGCTATCGGACACAAATTCTAAACTAAAGAACCGCCTCGCCCGGCTTCTGCTTTTACCATCGACCCGTTTTCAGTGACGCTGCCTCCCCTTCTCTTTCACTGCTTCGATTATTATTATATATATATATATATAAATACTTGCTGCCAAGTTGTGTTTTTTTTTTAATTGATAACGAAATTTTCATTTTTCATGAATTTAATTCGTGGGATTTAATTTTTCATTTTTTTTTTTCATCAGAAAAATTTCTTTTTCTTTTTACTAATAGATTAGAAAAATTGAAGATTTGTAGAATAAATCTCTTTTTTTTTTAAATATTTGTTTTAAATATATATTTTTTTTTTGAAATTATCTATTGAAACAGCGTTTCGATTAAAATTTACTATTTAAATAAATTATTTATTTATATAGTTTATTATTAAATAAAAAAAAATTGTTAATTTCAAAATTTTCCAAAAAAAACTATTTTTTATTGTCTTGTATTTAATTTGTCTGCAAATAAGAATGGTATGCTGTGTGTCAGCTAAAAAATTGCTGTTACCACTAATTTGTAGATTCTAAATATTTAAATTTTAAACACAGCTTGCTTCAACTAACAAAGTTTTCTGCAAATAAAAATTTTTTCTATTTGTTAATCTTTCTAAAAAAAAAAAAAAAAAAACTATAATTTTGTTAGTTGCCACAGAAAAAATTTTAAAAGCAAAAAATGGAGAATATTTAAAATTCTATAAATTTTTTAAAAATATTTTCGACTCTTTCTATGTTGATATTTTTACATTCTAATCATAATGAGAAGGTATTACATTTGGTGAATTTTTTTTAGCTAGTTTCATATTTTTTCAACACCCTGTATAGATATATATACTGTGCGTCCAAAATAGTGCACAACTTCAACATAATGAAATGCAACCGACAACGCATATGAAAATTCACAGAAGATATTAAAAAGGGGCAAAACATTCGAGTTTATAAATTACTAAATTACTCAAAATCATAGAAAATTGTGGAAATATTAAAATAAAATTTTTTTCTTTTTTTTTATTTGATTTTAATTTGATTTTTAACAAAAAAAAAAAAAAATTTATTTCATTCAAATAAATCGGTTACTTCACAGAATAAAATATTTACCTGGAATAGCTAAAACTTTTTTACTAAAAGGAAAAATTTTTAATTGTTTCAATTAAAATCCTTTCACTATTTTAGTGAAACCTTTCCAGATAAAGTTCCTCCCCCCCCCGTGTTGATAAATAAAATATTTATTTTTATTAATTATTAAATAATTGTTTAATAATTATAATTATTTTTAATTTAATTTTAAAATTATAATAATTTTGTTTCAAATACAGAAATTATTGATTGAAACACAATTTATTTAATTCAAAATAAAATTTATTTAGCCCAAGTAAATATTTGATAACATTAAAAAAAAAATTTAATTTACAATTTAAAAAAAAAAAATTAATTGGCGAAAATTTATTAAAAAAAGCCGCATAATTAATAAAGGAGTAATTACATGAATTTTCATAAACGAATAAAAAAAAAAAAAATGTTTACTTCAAAATGTATAACAATTTATAATTCCAATTATAGACAGTAAAATTTGAAAAAAAAACTTTCAATAAATCCAAGAAGAAATAAAGTGTGAATTTTTTTAATTAAAAAATTTGTATTATTAAATTTTTATTTATACTTGTATTGTATAATATATAATTTAGCCGCTATGATTTTTGCTTATTATATGTAAACATAAAACTAATGTTTTTTTTAAACTATACATTAAAAACTGCGCAGAAGTGAATCATTCTACTTTTATTTGTAGTTTCCTTATATACTTAAATGTCAGTTTTATCATTCTCATGAACATGTTCGGATCGAGGAATTCATCATTAATTTTTCTCGTTCACTACTATTAAAATAATTGTGTTATTATCATATATATATATATATATATAACAATTATAATGTACTTGTGATGAAAATATAAATTATATAAGAAATAAAAAATAGCAGTTTTATTAATTATTGAATTAATTGCTGACAATAAATTCCAGTAAGTCAATAGTTATTATTAATATAAGAATCATTTCTATAGAATTTAATTAATTTAATAATTTTTTTTTTAAATATATATGAATTTTTTATAATAATAATTATTATTTTCAGTACAGAATATTTTATAAATATTATAAAAGTTGTTATTAATTATTTATATCTTATCTTCGTTAACTGTTATAATTTTTTTAATTTTATTTTTTTTTTTTTTCTTTTTGTAAGATAAAATTATATCAAGTCTTTTATATGAGTTCAATAATACGATATAAAAGACATTTTACCTTTTTTTTTTTGAAATCATTTAAAAATTTTGTGATACTATTTTTTTTTTTTTTTTTAATTATTTCAGAATGGATTTTATAAACATGGGTCTTGTGGAAATTTTTCTCATTATTTTGGGACTTTGCATTGCTCTCTATTATTATAATTCATCAAAATATGAATTTTGGAAAAAACTTGGCGTTCCAGGTCCTAAACCAACGTTTCTTTTGGGAAATTTTAAAGATCTTATGCTGAGAAAAAAATCATTTGGCGATTTTATAAAACAATTATATGACGATTATAAAAATGAGCCAATAATTGGAATTTATGCAAGACATACGCCAATTTTAATTTTAAATGATCCTGATTTAATAAAAGATGTATTAATAAAAGATTTTGCCAATTTTACCGATCGTGGAATAAAAATTTATGAAAAAGTTGAACCCTTAGCACAAAATTTATTTTCCCTTGAACATGAAAGATGGCGTCCACTTCGTATTAAATTATCGCCAACATTTACATCGGGAAAATTAAAAGAAATGTTTTATTTATTATTGGAGAGTGGTGATAATTTGGAAAAATATATGAAAATTCTTATTGATAGAAATGAACCAATTGAAATAAGAGATTTAACATCAAAATATACAACAAATGTCATTGGTGCATGTGCATTTGGATTAAATATTAATGTACTTTGTGATGAGGAAAGTGAATTTTTAAAAATGGGTAAACAAATATTTACATTAAATAATTGGAGACAATTTAAAGCAACAATAAGAGATACTTTTCCAAAATTATTCAATTTTCTCGGTCCATTAATGAAGGATTGGGAAATAAATAATTTTTATAAAAATTTATTTATAAATATGATGAAATATCGAAAAGAGAATAATATTGTGAGACATGATTTTGTTGATTTACTTAGGGAAATAAGAGAAAATCCTGAAAAACTTGGAGATTTTGGTAAGTGGAAGAAAAAAAAAAATTAAAAATTTGTTTATACAATTTTATAAATAATAATTTGGAATTTTTTTTAGAAATAACTGATGACATAATAGTGGCGCAAGCATTTGTTTTCTTAGTTGCTGGATTTGAAACATCATCAACAACCATGAGCCACGCATTATATGAATTAGCATTGAATCCATCAATTCAAGACAAACTTCGTAAAGAAATTCATCAGGTTTTAAATAAATCCGATGGAATTTTAACTTATGAAATAGTTAAAAGTATGAAGTACTTACATCAAATATTTCAAGGTAAAAAAAAAATTTTTCACATAATTTTTTTTATTGAAAAAAAAAAATAATTAATTTTTTTTTGTCAGAAACTCTTAGAAAATATCCACCAGTCACGGCTCTTATGAGAAAATCAACGGAAAATTATAAATTTTCAAAAATCAATGTAACAATACCAAAAGATATGATACTTTTTTTACCCATTTATGGTATTCAACTTGATTCAAAATATTATCCAAATCCAGATAAATTTGATCCAGAAAGATTTAATGATGAGAATTTTAAATCAAGACATCCAATGCATTTTTTACCATTTGGCGATGGACCACGAAACTGTATTGGTAAAATTCTTTTGATTTTAAAAATATAAATTTTTTTTTTTACATTAAATAAATTAATAAAGAAAAAAATTCTATTATTAAATATTTCTATATAGGATCAAGATTTGCAATATTTCAAACTAAAGTTGGTCTTATCAAGATGTTGAAAAACTTTAGAGTCGATGTTTGTGAAAAAACACTGATTCCTTATGTAACCAATGTGCAATCATTTCTTCTTGCACCAGAAGGAGGGATTTATTTAAAACTTTCAAAAGTATCATCCGAGTAAATTTTACATTTATTGTTAATTAAAAAATATTTTTATTACAATTAATATATATAGTCGAATTTGTAAATTGCAATTAATAGCTTATAATTTTTTTTTACTACTAGATGAAACTAAAAATTAAATATATAATAAATAATATTATCAAATTTTCCAATTGATGGTATAAAAATTATCTAAGTTAAAAAAAAAAAAGATTCTCACTTTAAAAAGAACACATTTTTTTTCAAAACATTAAGAATAAAATAAATTTTAAAGAAATAAATAAAAATTAGTCTTTTAAAAGAGTTTTTTTTTTAAAATAACATCTGTGTTTACAAAACGTCATGAATTGAAAAATGAAATAATTATATTCATTTTTTACAATTTAAAAAAAAAAATTACTGATTTCATCATCGTTATTTAAAAAATTTTTGAGAAAAACGAATTCTTTGATCAAATGCAAATAAGTTCCTTGCATTTTAAATAATAATAAAAGAAATTACATTCAAAGGTGTGTTAATCAAATTTCGTTTTGAATTTCTAATTTAAATCTTTAATCAACTTTTTTTTCCATAAAAAGATAGACATTTGTTCCAGTTGCAAAAAAAAATAAAATAAAAATGAAGTATGTGATTCTAATACTTTTGATTCTAATCAATTTTTTCAAATCAATTAAAAGTGTAATTAACGATGACGTTAATGTAAGTACTAAAAAATAAAAATCGATTTTTTCGAAAAAAAAAATTATTTCATTTTTTACATTCTTTACAGAAAGAAAAATCATTAATAAATTCTAATGTATCAATAAAAAATCTTTGTATGCTTTACGATCAATTGGAATTAATAAATGAATTTGTAAGGCCAATGCACGAGAGGCTTTTTCTAATAATAGCAGATGACATTGCAAATGGAATTACATTGGCTGAATTTTTAAGTGATAAAAATAGAATTTTACCTGAAAAAAAACAATTATTATACAATGAAATAAAAAAAAATTACCATCTATATTATAATATTGAGACATCAACTTATATTTTTGTTTATCCAAAAAATGTGGAAAATGAAATATTAGCAATATATTTGACAAAAAGAACAATAGAAAATGCAAAAAATGTGAAAATTGCATTAACATGTCATGAAAATAATAATAAAGACAATCTCAATAATATGTTTCAATTGGTGGCGAAAATTTTAAAAAATACACCATTAAATCAAGAACTTAATGAAAGTATTATTTTTTTACCATTAAACATTAAAGAAAAATGTGGATATTTAAATGCTGTTAAAAAATTGGAAGAATATTTTTATAAAAAATTTTCAAAATTCAAAACTGCAAATAAAAATACTTTTTTCTCCAATTTATCATCAAATTTACATAATTTAAATATTCAAGAAACTATTGAATATCATGTGATTGAACCTATTTTAACAATGAAACTTGTATTTGAAATTGATAAATTATGTGAAATGGATCAAATATTCACTCAACAATTTACAATTCTTGTTTGGAATTATATAAATACAAATTTAATAAAATTCAATCATCAATTTTCATTATTAAAAAATAATGAAACACTAAATTGTTTTCAATCAAGAATTTTAGTAGAAAATATTTTTTCTAATCTACAAAATTTTACATTAACATCAATATTTACTTTTTTCAATTCTCTCGAATCAATTAATAATAAATTATTATTTTTAAATCAAAATGAAAAATCAATGCAAAATCTTTGCAATTACAGTGAAAATTTAGAAATTATTAAATTATTTTGTCACATAAAATACATGTCAAATATTTCATCAATGATAAAAATTTTAATAAATAATTTAAAATATTTTGCTAAAGAAAATTTGGAGAAAAAAATTGATTGGTATTTTAAATTAAAATTATTATATGACAATAGTGAAACAAATGAAATTGAATTTCAATATCTCTATGAGGAAATATCGAAAATTGAAAATAATAATCAAAATTTAATGAAACTTGCTTTTTTTACTATAAAAAATAATACAATAAATAGAGAAGTGAATTATTCATGTTTATCATTGAATAATCAATTTTATAAACTTGAAATTAGAGGAAAAATTATAAAATTTGATGATATTTTTAAAAAAAATTATTGTTCAGGAAAAGTGAAAATCATTCAATTATTTGCATGGGAAAAAATTATTATTGATCGAGATTTAATAAAAATAGGAGAAGAATTGCAATTGAATATAATTGGTCCAATTTGGGAAATTGTTTTTCAAAGAATTATAAATTTGGACGGTGCTACTGCTAATAATTGGGTGAGTGATAAAAGAAATTATTTCTTTTTTTTTTTATTCAAATCAAATTTTAATTAGTATTATTATTTTTTTTTAAAGAAAATTCACAATTCTAAAAATGGAAATAACGATGGTCTACCTGGATTACCTGGTGGGCCTGGAGGAATATTTTTTGGAATCTATGAGAAGCTTATTGGGGGAAAAAATTTAATTATTTCAAGTAATGGTGGTAATGGGAGCGATGGTAAAAATGGTAAAAAAGGAACTGGACCATTAAATCCACCTGGTAATGGTGGTAAAGGTGGAATACGTGGTAATCACGGTTTAATAGAATTGTTTTCAATAAAAAATGATTCCTCTATTTTTGATATAAAAATATCATTACTAAATGGTATTAATGGTGATTATGGTACTGGTGGAATTTTTCTAGATGAAAAGAATTTACTTTATGGAAAAAGTGATTACAATAAAATAGAATATCATCAACCAAGAAAAGCAATTGTTATTGAAAATTTTGTTGAAATTATTAAAAGCTATAGAAAATATCTTATATCAAGTGCTTTAAATAAAAAAAGTTTAGATTTTTACAAAAAACTAAATCAAAATCAAAATATTTTAAATAAATTTAAATTATTTGATTTTATTCAAGATTTGATAATGTTAGAAAAATATTATTCAATGAATATGAATAAATCGTTATCATTGGAATTATTAAAATCATGGCATTATGGAATTCATGAATATTATTTCAAAAATAAGAAACAAAGTGATAAATATACAAAAGTATTTTCAACTCTCGATACAATTGTTAAAAGGAAAATACAAAAATTAGAAGAAAAATTTTACTATCATTCAATATTGAAAATTGATATTTATCTTGAGGAGTGTTTAGAAGAGAGTAAAAAATTACAAGATGCAAATATTCTTTTAAATATAAAAACAATAAATGGAAAATTTAAATTTGAATTTGAAAATGAAATAAAAAAAGCAAAAAAAATTGAAAATGATTTAAAAATTTATTTAGAGAAAAAAAATTATGAATTACAAATTAATATTAAAAAAATAGTCGATGAAGTCAATGATATAATAGAATTAAAGAAAAATGAAATTGAAAAATTAAAAGAAACAAGAATAGAACTTAAAAATAAATTAATAACAAGATCAATATTTGGTTGTGTTCAATTTATATTATTAGCCATATCATTTATAGATCCTGTTTGTGCAATTGTTGGTTCTTTATTAAGAGTTGGTTCATTTGTTGCCGAATCAGAAATTTTAGATTCAAAACGTAATCAAAATATAGAAATTAAATTACCAAAACCAGTTTTAAATTCAATGAAAAAGACATTTCAATCATATGATGAAAATAATAAACAAGAATTAATGGTTCTTGAAAAAAAATTGAATCAAATAGAAATTAAAAAAAATGAATTAATTGAAGCTGGTGAAAATGCACAACCATTAATAGAAGCTGGTATTAAAATAAAGGAATATTTTTTTAATAAAAAATCTAAAACATCACCAAGTCCAATGAAACGTATGAAAAATATTTTACAACAAATTAATGAAAAATGGTCAATGAAAAATGTTATTGAAAAAAAAAATACTGAAAAATCATTGAAATTTTTACAAAATTCTATTGAAATGGATCCTGAAAGTATTGTTGATTTAGGTAAAGAGACATATGAAAAAATAACCAATGATTTATCTGAAATAAATCAAATTAATCGAATTATTGAACAACAACCAAATGATATAAAAAAATTACAAGAATTTAAAGATGAAATTTTTCAACATTTAGAACCACAAATTCAACAAATACGAGAAAAAATTCAAATAAAATCATCTAAATTTGCAATTTCATCAATAACATATCTTGAATTTGAAAAATGGCAAATGGATAAATATTTAATTGATATATCATCGAAATTAAAAATATGGACAGAAACATTTAAAGTTGAAGAATCAGTTAATGATATAATGATAAAATTGAAAAATACAATAAATACAATTATTCGTCTTCATATTCTCATAAGGGAATTTCAATTGAAAATAAAAAATGCTAACTATATGGAAAATATTGCCAGTGCACCATTTCAACTTATCAATATAAAAGATGAAAAATTAAGAAAATATTTGACAAAATTATTATATACACATTATGCAAATGATATAATTGATGAATATAAAAAATTGACAATTGCCTTTAAACAATATACATTTCCATTTATTGAGGAATATCCCGATATTATTGAATCGTCATTTACAATTTCAAGTGATCCATTGATAAGGGCAAATTATATTATTGAAAAAATGAAATTTCTTAAATCACATTTAATAAAAAAGAAAGCACATGGTCAATTATTGAAATATACATCGACTGCACATTTTGGAAATGAATTTTTTTCATTTTATAGTTGGAAAAATAAATCTGATATTAAAAATATACTTAATGGAAAAGAAGTTAAATTATTTGCAAATATTTCATATGAAAATAATTATTATTTGAGTGGTGTTAAATTTAGAGATGTGAATATTTTATTTATCTCAAATAATTTGACAATAAATAATAATATAAAAAATGATTTAAATGGATTTTCGGTAACATTAACACACAATGGAGATTCATATTATAGATGTAATGAGAATGTTTATTTAATTGAATCCGGTGTATTTGAATTTGAAAATAAATTTTTTCTCTCAACAAAAAGAAGAAAAAGAAATTTTGAATTAGATTATGTTTTGAGTCCATTTGCAACATGGACAATACGTCTTAATAATAAAAATAATAATTTTACCATAATGTCTAAATATGTAAATGATGTAACTATAGAAATTGTCGGTGAGGGACAATATATGAATTCAGATGTCAATGTTTGTAAAAATAATTTAACAAAATATTACGGAAAGAAATATGATTTTTAATAATTTTTTTTTTTTTTATAAATTTGAATAAATTTTTCTTCTTTTAAAAACAAAAACATTTAAAAATAATTATTATCAATATGCGACTGTCGTAAAAAAAAAAATTGAAAGTACTAAATTTATTATATCAGATAAGAAAGATTGAAGCGTATTTACTAAAGCAATTATCCAAGAATATTACAATTCATTCTGTTGTTAGTTAACGAGCAAAGTTTTTCCTTGGATAAAAAATTAAATTTTCATTTAAAAACAATATTACAAAATTATTATTAAAAAATGGAATTAATTTTTTGTCTAATTGTGGGAATTATTTTTCTACTTTATTATTTATTTACATCGAATCATAATTTTTGGAAAAATCAAGGTGTCTTGGGTCCAAAACCATTACCAATTTTTGGAAATTTTAAAAGTAAAATATTTAATGAAATATCGGATGCTGATTTTTTAAAAAATTACTACGATCAATATAAAAATGAAACAATGTTTGGACTCTATTTTAATAATACACCAATATTAGTGTTAAAAGATTTGGAATTAATAAAAGAAATTTTAATTAAAGATTTTAATAAATTTGCTGATCGTGGAATGCAAGTACATAATAAAATTGAGCCATTATCGCAAAATTTGGTTGCACTTGAAGCAGAAAGATGGCGGCCATTACGTAAAAAATTATCACCTGTTTTCACTTCAGGTAAATTAAAAGAAATGTTTCATTTACTTATTGAAACATCTGAACATTTGGAACAATATTTAAATAAATTATTAACAAATAATGAATCATTAATTATTGAATGTCGTCAATTAACGTCAAAATTTACAATGAATGTAATTGGTTCATGTGCATTTGGTGTTGATATTAATGCACTTAATGATGAGAATAATGAATTTGTTAAAATGGGACGAAAATTATTTGCATTTAGTTATTGGAAAACATTGAGAATGAATATTAAAGAATTAACACCATGGTTATTTAATGCACTTGGACCATTAATGAAGAAAACAGAAATGGCTGATTTTTTTACAAAATTTATAACTGACACAATGCAATATAGAAAGGAACATAATATTGTTAGACATGATTTTATTGATTTATTAAAGAATCTTAAGGAAAATCCTAATAAAATTGACGAAATAGGTATATATTTGAAAATTCCTTCTTTTTTTTATTATTGATTTTTAATAAAAATTTATATATATATATTTTTTTTCTTTTAGAATTAACCGACAGTTTAATTGCTGCTCAGGCAGTGACATTTTTTGCAGCTGGTTTTGAAACATCATCAACAACAATGAGCCATTGTTTATATGAATTGGCATTGAATAGTGAAATACAAGATCAACTTCGAAAAGAAATTAAACAGGAAGCTGAAAAATTAAATGGAAAATTCACTTACGATGGCATACGAAATATGAAATATTTGGACAAAGTTTTTCAAGGTAAAAAAAAAAATAAAAAATTTTTTTTTCTGATCAATTTTTTCTTTTTTTTTCTTTCTTTCAGAAACTTTAAGGAAATATCCACCGGGAACGAAATTAAGAAGAAGAAGTTTGGAAAATTATCAATTTTCTGGTACCAATGTGACAATACCAAAAAATGGTATGGTTTGGATTCCTGTTTATGCTATTCAACGTGATCCAAAATATTATCCAAAACCAGATGTATTTGATCCGGAAAGATTTGAAAATGATTCTTTTAATTCGAGACATCCAATGTTATTTTTACCATTTGGTGAAGGTCCCAGAAATTGTATTGGTAAAATTATTTAGAATAATTTTTTTTTTCACCAAATAAAATTGATAAATAATTAAATATTATAAATTTTTTGGCATTTTATTTACAGGAGCAAGATTTGCGATGTTTCAAACAAAAATGGGACTTATTAAAATATTACAAAATTACAAAGTTGAAGTCTGTGATAAAACTCCTATTCCATATGTTATTAATCTCAAATCTCAACTTCTTGCACCAGCATCGGGATTATATTTAAAATTTTCCAAAGTAGAATAAAAAAAAAATAATTGCAAAAATATTTAAATTAAAAAAAATTGAATTAAACACTCTATTAAAAATAAATTTCAAATTAAATAAAATTTATGTATTTTTTAATATATTATATTTGAATAATAAAAATTGTATTACAAACATTTTTCCCTTCTTTCATTTATAAAAATCAATTGACGAAAAAAAAAAAATATTCAGTCAAAGAATAAAATATTTATGAATTAACGAAATTGAAATTAATATTATATTATTATTATTATTTATATTCTATTATTAATATTAATTATTAATTAATAATAATTAATTAATATTACATAATTCTGTATCAGAGATAAAATTTATTTTTATTTACTATTTTTATACAAATTAAAAAAAAAATAATTTTTTTTTTATTTAATAATAATTAATATAGAGATTACTTTTTATGCAAATTATATAATGAAAAAATAATTCTATTTCAAACAAATATGTCGTAAGTATATTATATATATATATATATATATATATATAAAAAGGTAAAAACAAAAAACGAATATTCATTCATGATAATAGAGAAATAATTTTCCAGTAAAAAAAAAATATTGATGAAATTTTTCATGAGACAACTAAAGGTGCACAGTCATCGTTAATCAGTAGTTGCAGAACTCCTGAGTCACATTGAATTACTCTCCTTCCTCTTTATACACTCTTTGTTTTATTGCAGTTACTATTAGTCTCTCCTTCAGTTTTGTTCTATTCAAGTGTCGTAAATTGCATCAACTGATATATTGTTAAATTTTAAATCAAAAATAGTGCAAAGTGAGACATTTCTTTAATATATTTGTTTACATTTACATAATAATAATAATAATAATAATAATAATAATAATAATAATAATTTTTTAATTGGCTCTTTAAATGTTACAAATTCCCAATTTTTTATTTGTATTTTTATTTATAAAACATTAATTACTTTTTCTAAACAAAATCTACAAATATTTAATAAGCAGTCAATTGTGTGATTAATTAAATGTGATTGTTGTGATTTAAATTTCAAATATGTGAATTTATACCCTTATAAAAATTCCTTATAAGAAAATAATGTTAAAGCTGAAATATTTTCAGTATAATGTTTTTTGTATAATATTTTCGCGATTATAGGTAATTTATTATAAGAAATTCATTATAAAATTTTTTTTTCTCAAATAATTATAAAAATATAATTATTAGAGACTATGTAATGAAATCATTACAATTTTATAATTATGAAAATGTAATTATAAAAAATTAAAATTTTTCACGTGCAAAAATTAAAATATTATATAAAATTAAAAAAATTTAATTACAGAAATTAATTAATTTTGTATTTTACTGATAACTATATATAGTTAAAATACAAAATTACAAAACTATATATATAGTTATCAGTAAAATACAAAATTAATTAATTTCTGTAATTAAATTTTTATAATTTTAATTTTATATATTTTAATTTTTTCACGTGAAAAATTTTAATTTTCTATAATTACATTTTCATAATTATAAAATTGTAATGATTTCATTACATAGACTCTAATAATTATATTTTTATAATTATTTGAGAAAAAAATTTTATAATGAATTTCTTATAATAAATTACTACTGAAAACATTTCAGCTTTAACATTATTTTCTTATAAAGGAATTTTCATAAGGGTAAAAATAAAATTTTTTTTTTTCAAGAAAATATTAATATTTTCTGGTACATAACAGTGATTTTTTTTTTAAGTTTCCATTTGAAATTAAAAATTAAATGATCGTAGCAATAAAAATGCAATTTTTTTTTTAGATACCAAAAAATGGGACCCTTCGAAATTTTGTGTATTATCGCGGGAATTTTTCTTCTTCTCTATTTCTATAGTACATCAACGCATGATTTTTGGAAAAATAAAAATGTCAAAGGACCAAAACCAACGCCATTATTGGGAAATTTCACTGATCTTATGTTAAATCGCATAAGTATGGGTGATTATACAAAAAAACTTTATGAACAATTTAATAATGAATTAATGATTGGAATGTTTGCCCGTAAAACGCCAATATTGCTATTAAAAGATCCAAATTTAATAAAAGATGTTTTAATAAAAGATTTTAATAAATTTGCCGATCGTGGTATTAATATTAGTGAAAAAGTTGATGTATTATCACCACATTTATTTGCCCTTGAACCAGAACGTTGGCGGCCATTACGTAAAAAATTATCACCCGTTTTTACATCAGGCAAATTAAAAGAAATGTTTCATTTACTTATTGAAACATCAGAACATTTAGAGGAATATTTAAATAATATTGTAATTGAAAATGAACCAATTGAATGTAGAAAATTAACAGCAAAATTTACAACTGATGTTATTGGCTCGTGTGCATTTGGTATTGATATAAATGCATTGTCAAATGAAGAAAGTGAATTTCTTCGTATGGGTAGAAAAATATTTGATTTAAATTTTTGGCGAACATTAAAAATAAGAATAAGAGATATTACACCATGGTTGTATGAATTATTGGGGCCAATATTAGCTGAAAAGGAGATGAATAATTTTTTTGTTAATTTAGTACGTGATACAATGAAATATAGAAAGGAGAATAATATTGTTAGACATGATTTTATTGATTTATTAAGAGAGGTGAAGGAAAATCCTGATAAATTAAGTGATATTGGTAAGTTTATGACAATTTAAAAATTTTTTTTTTTTTTAAATAATATTTTTTTACAGAATTGACTGATAGTTTGATAGCAGCACAAGCCTTTGTTTTTTTCATTGCCGGCTTTGAAACATCATCAACAACAATGAGTAATGCTTTATATGAATTGGCATTAAATCCTTCAATTCAAGAAAAATTACGTAAAGAAATTCAAAATGAATTCAAAATAACCGAAGGCAAATTATTATATGATCGAATAAAAAATCTCAAATATTTACATATGGTTTTTCAAGGTTTGTATTTTATTGATAAATTTCAATTTTCTATTATTAAAAAAAAAAAAAAAAAAATGATTCCATTTTTAGAAACTTTGAGAAAATATCCACCAGTAACGGTTCTTATGAGAAAAGCAACAGAAAAATATACATTTTCTGATACTAATGTAACAATTCCAAAAGGACAAAAAATATGGATTCCAACTTATGCAATTCAACGAGATCCAAAAAATTATCCTAATCCTGATACATTTGATCCAGAGAGATTTAGTGAAGAAGAAGAAGAATTAAGACATCCAATGTTATTTTTACCATTTGGAGATGGTCCGAGAAATTGTATTGGTAAATATTTCTACCTCTTTTCTATTATTTAAACAAAATTTATCATTCCTTGAAAATTTTGTTATTTCAATTAAATTACAGGTGCAAGATTTGCTGTTTATCAAACTAAAATTGGATTGATGAAAATACTCAATAATTACAAGGTTGATGTTTGTGAGAAAACTTGCATTCCTTATGTGAATAGTAAAAATTCATTTCTTCTACAACCAAAAGATGGAATTTATCTGAAATTTAAAAAAATAGTATAGATTTTAATCAATCAATCATCAATGTCTCATCTCGTTAATTTTTATATAATTCATTTATAATAGTCATATTTATAGATAAGAATTTGTAAATAGATTTCTATTTTGATTTTCAAATAGATTATTTAAAATTATTTTTAATAATAAAATAAAAAACCTTTTTTTTTCCTATTAAAATACTGTAAATATTTGTTGACAGCATTAAACCTCTTTTTTTTTTGGAGAAGTGAATCAAAGATTTTATATTGTCGTGGAAGCATGGGTAAAATGTGCAATGATTTAGCAAATATTTCCTATCATTCAGATAAGAAAATAACAAAAAAAAAAAATATTACTTTTTCTTCAAACAATTTATATCACATTCACATTAATTTTTTATCAACATTGAAATTTATTTTCATTTTTTTCTACCTTTTATTTTTATGATAAATTTTATAATGCAACCAATTTATTTGAGTTTTTATGGTATTTCATTTTTTTCGAGGACTTAAGACAAAAAATAATTAATTTGACAATAAATTTTTTTTTTTATTATTAACAGTTGTTCAGATAGCAAATAAGAATCTGATAAAAATCACCAATGGTAAGGTAATTAAAATTTTACAATTATGTAACAAGAAAAAAAAAAAAATAAAAAAAAAGGTTCAAAAGTCATTATTTATCAGTTACTCTAAAACCGCAGTACTTAATTTAACTCTGCTAAAATATAATCACGATTTTCAGTATCTCATTTCTTTTTTTTTTTACTAAATAAAAAAAAAAAAAAAAAAAATGTTATTTGAAATTTTGTGCCTAATTGTGGGATTTATTTTTCTTTACTACTATAGTAGAAAAAATTTTGACTTTTGGAAAAAACAAGGTGTCAAGTGTCCAACGCCAATACCATTTGTTGGAAATTTTAAAGATTTTATGTTAAATCGAATAAGTATTGGTGATTTTACAAAACAAGTGTACGATCAATTTGAAAATGAATCAATGGTTGGATTTTATGCACGTCGAAAGCCAATTCTTCTTATTAGAGATCCAAAATTAATAAAAAATATTTTAATTAAAGATTTTAATAAATTTGCCGATCGTGGAATGACATTTCATGAGAAAGTTGATATTTTATCGCCAAATTTATTTATGATTGAACCAAAACGATGGCGGCCATTACGTAAAAAATTATCACCCGTTTTTACATCAGGTAAATTAAAGGAAATGTTTCATTTACTTATTGAAACATCAGAACATTTAGAGGAATATTTAAATAAAATTGTAATTGAAAATGAACCAATTGAATGTAGAAAATTAACGACAAAATTTACAATTGATGTAATTGGCTCATGTGTATTTGGAATTGATATAAATTCATTGTCAAATGAAAATAATCATTTTATAAAAATGGGTCAAATTGTATTTAAAGCAAATTTTTGGAAAAATTTTAAAATGAGAATGAGAGAAATAACACCTGGATTATATAATTTTTTTGGATCAATATTAGCCGAAAGAGAGATGGATAATTTTTTTGTTAATTTAGTTCGCGATACAATGAAATATAGAAAGGAGAATAATATTGTTAGACATGATTTTATTGATTTATTGAGAGAGGTGAAAGAAAATCCTGATCAATTAGGTGATCTCGGTAGGTATAATTTATAACAATTTTTTTTCCAGTCTAGATAATTTTTTTCCGATATGATTATATAATACTTTTATCTTACAGAATTGACTGATAGTTTGATAGCAGCGCAAGCTTTTGTTTTTTTCGTTGCCGGTTTTGAAACATCGTCAACAACAATGAGTAATGCTTTATATGAATTGGCATTAAATCCTTTAATTCAAGAAAAAGTACGTAAAGAAATTCAAAATGAATTAAAAATAACAGAAGGCAAATTTTTATATGATCGAATAAAAAATCTCAAATATTTACATATGATTTTTCAAGGTTTGTATTTTATAAATATTTTTTTCTAATTTTGTAATATAGTTTTTTTTTTTTGGTGATATTAAAAATTTGTTTATATATAGAAACACTTCGTTTATATCCACCAATAACTGTTCTTATGAGAAAAACAACAGAGAAATATACATTTTTGGATAATAATGTAACATTAGAAAAAGGATATAAAGTTTGGATTCCTATTTATGCAATTCATAGAGATGGAAAATATCATTCTGAACCTGAAATCTTTAATCCTGATAGATTTAAAGATGAGGAAATTAATTTACGAAATCCTATGCACTATTTACCATTTGGAGATGGGCCCAGAAATTGTATTGGTAAATTGATAAAATTTAAAATAATTTTATAAAAAAAAAAATTTTAATTAATTAAATTTTAGGTTCAAGATTTGCAATTTATCAAACTAAAATTGGATTGATGCAAATACTGAAAAGTTACAGAGTTGATGTTTGTGAGAAAACAAGTATTCCTTATGTTAACCATAGAAGTTCATTTCTTCTTCAGCCTAGAGATGGAATTTATTTGAAATTTAAAAAAATAGTTTAAGTAATTTAATTTTTCACGCATATAAATTATTACATTATTCTTTACATTTAATATTTAACTTACTGTTGTTTATTTACCGAATTAGATAACAGAAAATAGATTCTGAGAATAACAAAAAATTCACTTCCGTAATTAAAAATTTAATTTTTTTTTAAATTTAGGATTATTAAAGGACTATATACAAAATTAAATAATATTTTATGTAATTAAGTAATAAAAAAAGAAGAAAACCATATATATATTTTTTTTTTTTTTGATTTTAAACCACAAATAATCTATATCATTATCATGATGATTCAGATAGTATCTCATACATATATATTCAGTCTTTATTACGTCTTACGTCATGTAACATTAAACTCAACTGCTTGTAGTTACTCTTCAATTCTTTAACCAGTATTATACAATTATCTCTAGTAAGTACATTCAAATAATTTAATAATTAATAAAAAAAAAAAAATTATACATACATTTTTATATATAAATTGAATAATTTTAATACAAGTATTTATCATTAATAAATAAAAATAATTTTATTATTTCAAGGACGTGACCATCAATAAAAATAAAAACAATTATGTTATTTGAAATTTTCTTCACAATCACAATTATTATACTGATTTTTCATTTTAAAAATAAATCAAACAATGATTTTTGGAAAATTCGAGGAATTAAAGGTCCTGAGTCAAGAAATTTTTTTGTCACAATGAAAAATATCTTTTTAACTAAAACCTACATTGGTGATACAATTAAAAAAATGTACGACGATTATAAAGATGAAAAAATGATTGGAATGTTTGCTGGTAGTATGCCAATTTTAATAATTAAAGATCCGGAATTAATTAAAGATATATTAATTAAGGATTTTAATAAATTTGCCGATCGTGGAATAAGACTACATGAGAAAGTTAATCCATTATCGGCACATTTATTTTCCCTTGAACCAAAACGTTGGCGACCACTTAGAAAATGTTTATCACCAGTATTCACTTCTGGTAAATTAAAAGAAATGTTTTATTTAATTCTCAAATCATCGGAAAATTTAGAATTATATTTAAAGAAAATTGTAACGGCAAATAAAATAATTGAATGTCGTAGTGTTACGGCAAAATTTACAACAGATGTAATTGGCTCTTGTGCATTTGGAATTGATGTTAATGCATTTGTTGATGAAAATAATAATGAATTTCTTCGAATGGGTAAAAAAATATTTGATGTTGGCTATTGGCGAACTCTTAAAATGCAAATAATGCGAATTTTACCAAATTTATATGATCGTCTTGGTTTTATTGTTTCCGATAGGGAAATGGATGATTTTTTTGTTAATTTAATTAAAAATACAATTCAATATAGAAAGGAGAATAATATTATTAGACATGATTTTGTTGATATATTGCGAAATATGAAGGAGAATTCAAAGAATTTGGAAAATATAGGTAAAATTTTTTTGTTTTATACAAAAATATATTTTTTTTTTAAATTAAATTTATTTAAAATTTTTATTTTACTAAACAAAAACAAATTTAAGAATTGACAGATAATTTACTGGCTGCACAGGCAAATGTATTTTTTGCCGCTGGATTTGAAACATCATCTACAACAATGAGTAATTGTTTATATGAATTGGCATTAAATCCTTTAGTTCAAGAAAAACTACAAAAAGAAATTTGTGAAATTTTACAAAATTCAGGGAATGAATTGTCTTATGAGAATGTCAAAAATATGAAGTATCTACATCAAGTTTTTCAAGGTATATATAATAAACATTAAAAAGAAAAATAGTTATTATAATAGTTGATAAATTACAGAAACTCTAAGAAAGTATCCACCAGTTCCATTTTTAATGAGATGCTCATTAGATGAATATACAATTTCTGATACAAATGTAAAAATTCCAAAAGGTCAAAGAGTTTGGATACCGGCCTATGCAATTCAACGAGATCCAAAAAATTATCCTAATCCTGATAAATTTGATCCAGAGAGATTTAGTGAAGAAGAAGAAGAATCAAGACATCCAATGTTATTTTTACCATTTGGAGATGGTCCGAGAAATTGTATTGGTAAATATTTCTACCTCTTTATTAATTTATTTATAATTAGCTATTTTTCAAAATTAAAATTTCAAATAAATTACAGGTGCAAGATTTGCTGTTTATCAAACTAAAGTTGGACTGATAAAAATACTCAATAATTACAATGTTGATGTTTGTGAGAAAACTTGCATTCCTTATGTGAATAATAAAAATTCATTTCTTTTACAACCTACAGATGGAATTTATCTGAAATTTAAAAAAATAATTTAATAAGTCCCTTAATATAGATTTTAATCTTGAACAATGTTTCATCTTGTTAATTTTTTTTTTGAATTAATTTATAATAGTCATATTTAGATAACAATTTGTTGAGTTTCAAATATATTTATTTAAATTTATTTTTAATAATAATTTTTTAAATTATTGTAAATTTAATTTTACTAAAAAACAAATTTAAAAATTGAGATTATTAAACAAAAGTGGATTTTATTAAAATATTTAAAAAAAAAATAATATAAAATTGATGTATGTAAAGAGACACCAACTTTATATGTAAATAATTTTAATTTGGCATTATAAATAATAATTATATGATATAATACAAAAGTCATTTATTATTATTAATCCAGTCCTTCTTTTTTCTCCTTTATTGCCTCCTAAAAGAAAACATTTTTCAATTCAATAAAAATATGAAAATTTAAAGAAAAATATATTTAAAATTAATAATAATTTCAAGTAAACGTACTTTAAAACGTTCTTCAAAGAGTGATAACTCAGCAATTAAATCTGTGATTGCATGCATAAAAGCATCGTGAGGTGTATAATCAGATGTTGTTTGAATTCTAATCACAAATTTATGTTCCAATGGATGAGGCACTTTATATCCAGCAAATAGTACTTGAGGATCCTTTAATAGTTGACTAAAAATATAATTCATTATCACAAATAATCGTAAATAAAAAATTAATTCTTTAAATAAGAATAATTAATTTACTTTCTAATCATGTTTCCCAATGTATGATCCTCCTTGTTAATTGTAAAAATAGCTGCATTTGGAACCTTTGTATCTTGCTCTTTAATTATTCTATAAATAATTACGTGTATTTAAAATATAAACTTATTTTTATTAGTTTAAAAGGAACTTTTAATTATAGATTAAAGTATCATAAACATAACCTATAATTTTTTGCTTTCTAGATATATACCTTTTTATAGAGCGTGTCACATATTTTATAAAATAGAAAATATAAATACTTACTTCTTCTCACCCTCATAGAGAAGAAACGATTCAAATGTCGGTGGTGCATTCATTTTTTTTTTTTATTTACAAAATAATTTTCTCACAACAATAATATTCAAACCACTGTCACTTTAGTCACTCTCACTGCCTATTATATTATTACACGCTTTATATGGAAACTCTTTTTTTGAATATGACTACTTAAATGAAGGGTACTTTTTTCCGAAAGTGGCCATATGTATGAGAATGGCGCTAGTAGTCTAAAGCAGCCTCGTCTCTTTTCATCTCTCATCTTCATTCATTGTTTTTGATCATTGTAGTTTTACTATACTACGAATTTATTATTAAACTGTGAGTAATATTATGATTTTATTCATAACTATTTATTATCAAAAATTAAATTTTATAACTAATAGTTTGATTCAAAATTTATAGAAAAAATGTATAATTGTTTTTTCATATAATAAATATTATACAGCTGGAGTGACAATAAATCTAATTTTTTTAATATTTTTAACTAAATAGTACACATGTCAAATTTTAAGTATATAGAAACATATGTAGAATTTATGCAATTAATATAATAATTATTATTTTAAGTAAACATACCATCAATTGTAATTCCATTACATATTTTTAAAAACCTAACCTCAAATTTTCCTTTTATACAAGAAGTATTAAATTTAATTTATTTAAATAAACTTTAAACTATTGGTAAAAGAAATTTCAATTAACTAAATTTTTGATATAATAGTTATAGTTAATACTATAAAAAAATTTTTTTTTTCAGATTATTATGAAGTCAACTTTTTGTCTATATTAAATTATAAATATCCAGTGATAATGAATGACATACTTTCAATATGAAACTGGTTAGAAAAAACGTTGACAAGGATGGAGAAGGGTAAGTGAAAAACATTTATAAATTCGTTTGATTAAATATAATTAAAATTATTTACTTTAAATATTTACTTTTACAGAAGTGTATCTCTCATTCCTGAGAATACAGAAGATGTATGGCATGCTTATAATTTAATATGTGAAGGAGATCATGTCAGTTGTTCAACAATTAGGTAAATATTTATCAAAAAACGAAAAATTAATTTTAAAACAGAATTTTGGCAACAAAAAATAACTTTTTTTTTTTTTTTTAGGAAAGTACAAACTGAATCTTCAACTGGAAGTTCCAATAGCTATAGAGTAAGAACTACACTTACAATATGTGTCGAAGGAATTGATTTCGATACTCAAGCATGTGTTTTAAGACTTAAAGGACGAAATATCGAGGAAAATAAATATGTTAAAGTAAATAAATTTAATTTTATATTCAATTTTTCATTGATAAATCAATAATTGTCATTGTTTTTCTTTCTTTCTTTTTTTTAATAGATGGGAGCTTATCACACATTGGACGTAGAAAAAAATCGAAAATTCACTCTAGTTAAACCCAAATGGGATTGTGTTTCATTGGAGCGAGTTGATTTAGCCTGCGATCCAACTCAAGTAATATTTTATTGAATTGCATTTTTTTTTCAATTATATATTTGATTAATTTACTATATAAAATATTCTGTTAGAAAATTTATCTGCATATTTGTTTAGAAAAATTCAAATATTTGTTATCATTATTTTTCAAATTATATTATGTTTTTCATTATTTTTTTTTTTATATAGAATGCCGATGTCGCTGCTATTGTAATGCAAGAAGGAATAGCGCATATTTGTTTAATAACATCTAATATGACATTAGTTCGTGCAAAAATAGATCAAGTAATTCCACGTAAAAGAAAAGGACATGTTTCGCAACATGAAAAGGTTTATATAATAAATTAATTGCACTGATCTGTTTTTTTTTCTTTTTTGGTTGAGGGAAAAGAAAAGTCGTCTGGAATTTTATATTTTATATTATAAATTTTGATAAATATTTCGCATTTTTTTTTTCAAGGGCTTAACAAAATTCTACGATAGTGTAATGCAAGGAATATTAAGACACATTAGCTTTGATATTGTCAAATGTGTTATTATTGCAAGCCCTGGCTTTGTGAAAGATCAATTCATGGATTATATGGTTCAACAAGCAATTAAGTCGGACAATAAATTGATTTTAGATAATAAAAGTAAATTCATGCTTGTACATTCGAGTTCTGGTTTTAAACATTCATTGAAAGGTAATTATTATTTTAATTTCTTTTGAAAAAGGGGTTAATTATTATAATTAAATTATAATAATTTATAAAAAATAATGTAAATTTTTAGAAGTTCTAGCTGATCCAGCAGTTGTAACTCGTATTTCGGACACTAAAGCATCGAGTGAAGTAAGAGCATTAGAACTTTTTTTCACAATTTTGCAAACCGATCCTGAACGAGCATTTTATGGTAAAAAACATGTTGAAAGAGCAAATGAAGCTCAGGCTGTTGAAACACTTCTTATTTCCGATAAATTATTTCGGTGAGAATAATTTTTTTTTTTTTGCTTTTTCAAATTTTAATAACAGTAACATTTAAATTGGAGTAAATTATATTTTTCGGTATTAGAGCTCAAGATGTTGCATTAAGGAAAGAATACGTCAATTTAATTGAAGGAGTTAGGGATTCTGGAGGTGATGTTAAAATGTTTTCCAGTATGCACATATCCGGAGAACGTAAGTATTTTTAAAACTTAATTATTACTAATTATTAATTATTAAATTAATTAAATTTTAGAATTGGATCAACTCACAGGAGTGGCGGCTATTTTACGATTTCCAATGCCTGAATTAGAAGATGATGATGATGATGATGATGATGAAAGTGATGAAAGCAATTCGGAGTAGACTGATTCAAGACACTTCCTTCTGCAAATAATTCAGTTGTTTATTTTTCTGCTGTGAGCATTAAAAATATTTGTAATATAATAAAAAAAAAATCAAAACACATGACTAAGTTACAAAATTTATCGTAAAGACCAACAAAAAAGTTTATTTTACAAAAATTATTTTAAACAATTTTCTCAAACTCATTTCTATAGGAAAAAATTTTTTTTTCATTTTTAGAAATTAAAATTTTATTCTAAATAATAATTTTCAAACAAATATTCATTAACTATTTTTATTTTAAGATGTTCAATAAGTAGAATCCTGAGTTTGCAAGTATTTATTTATATTTTTTCAATATATGCAAAATATCTTTTCTTTCTCGCACTTGTAAATGAGAACAAGGAATTATTAACCTTGTATATTTTAAAGGGGTGAATTATCATAATTGGAGACAGAAATAATGGCTATAATAAATGCTTGTAAACATAAACACTCAATGGATACGCTCAGATGAATATATTGAGTCTTAGAATGCATATATTTAAAAAAAAAAAAAAAAAAAAACATTAAGTAATAAGTAATGTACTTGCTCTACATATTTTTCTCACGAGGAATTCACAAGGTGTTAATATCATTTCCATTTATTATTCTTCGATAATAAATTCAGGTTCATGAGAAATATTATTATTTTAATAAATTATTTTTATTATATTTTATATATATCAATTATATTAAAAAAATATTATATTATGAATATTAAAATAAAAAAAAAAAAATATTTTTTATAGAAAGAATTTTTTTTCAAACGTTTATTTAAAATACCTATATATAGAATTTTGAAGCGAAATCTCATGTACCGATTTTTGCATAATAACAGAAGAATCAGTTGTACGCCTTTTTGCGTACCAAGAATCTCTTTCTTTTCTTTTTGCGATCTGTTTATCGATCTTAGAACACCTGCCTCAGATACGAGACAGAGGCCAAGAAGAGAAAATATATAGTAGATTGTATTCACATCTTCTTTCAGTGTTAGGAATTTTATCGAAGATGCTGTAATGTTATTTACTCACTTTTTTTTTTTGAAAAAAAAAACAAATTTTATTTTATAAGAAATCAGTTTCCTGTAGGGTTGATTTTTCCCTATATGAGAAACAGGAATCGTCATTAAGAAAAAAAAATACATATATAGAGGGACATAAAATGGGATTTGATTTATAAAAAGGAGACGCAGACGAAGTAGATTATATATGGGAAAAGAGATGATTTTTTTTTCACAAGAATTAAGGTGTTGGAATTTAAATTATATTTTCTTTGAAATAAAAATTAATTTGACTTTTTTTCTATTTTTAAAATACTATACCGAAAATTTATATTAAAATATTTTTTTATAATTTTGTATATTTGGAGTTAAAAAAAAAAAAAAAAATTTTTTCTAATAATATGAATTAGATATACATAATCATAAGTGGGGGAAAATACTAACTTACACATAAACGGAAAAAGTTGAACGAGATACGCCCATCTTTATGCGAGATAAACTAGAGTCCATCCTGGCTGGTCTGTGTACCGGAAATTTGCAGTTACTTACATTCCTTTCAGGGTCGACTACCGGAGGGATAATTGATATGGAACGTTAATTGCCCTTCATCAGAGCAGATTTGTTAAAGGGTTGTTGAAGGGTCGAATCACTTCCCCCCCCCTCCTCCTCTTTCTATATACAAAATTAATGTCAATCAATTTGTATTTTTCACAATTTAGTTGAAAATAATTTCCCCCAACTGTTTGTTGTTTATTACTGAATAGAAAAATTATTATAGAAGAAATAATAATAAAAAAAAAAAAAATGTCCGACTAAAACTGTTTTTTACCACTGATAATAAAATTTGAAATATTGGAAAGTTTTGTCTGATAATATAAAAATTATATAACAATGTTTTCTCTCTCTAAGACTGTTATTTACTAATTTGAAATTTTTATATCCAACTGAGACTGACTTTTACCACTGAAATTGAATTTTCAATTTTTTTTTTTTGTTTCACCTGTCTGTGACTCTCTTTTACTACTTATAATCAGAATTAAAAATTATTTAAAATCTCATCATTCAAAAAAATGTTATTTACTAAATTAAAATTTTTCTGTCTGACCAATACTGTCTTTTATTACTAAATTTTAAATATTTAGAATTTTCCCGTCTGATTAAAAACGTATTTTTCCTACTAATAATAAAATTTTAACACAACACTATACTTAACGCTTTCATACTTTTTTTTTTACTCACTATTTGAGTTGATTTTTAACTCCAAAAATACTCTCAACTTCGTTTAACATTAATTCCTAGCTGGATTATATAAAAAAAATTTTTTGGAGTTAAAAATCAACTTCAGGAGTGAATTAATTTTAAATTAACTCCTTTGACTGCAAATTCAATAGGATATGACTTTTATATACTCCTGTTGGGAGTTAAAAATCTTACTCCCGTTTTTAAAAAATAGAACTCTTTTGGGAGTTGATGCAAAAAAAAAATTTTATGCTTAAGGAGTTAATTTTATATCTAGGAAATTAATACTAAGAGAATTAATCTAATATAAACTCACATTTAGAGTTAATTTTTAACTACCAGTGGGATTCTATAAAAAAATTTCGACAATTAATGACAATCTGAGATTAGAGTAAAATTTTTGGAGTTAAAAATCAACTTCAAGAGTGAATTAATTTTACATTAACTCCCATGGCTTCAAATCCAAATGGTTGCAATTTTTATAGAATCCCGTTGGGAGTAAAAACCTAACATGTTTTTGTAGTGTAAAAATTGCACTCTTTTGGAGTTGGTGCAAAGAGAGTTAGTCTAATATTAACTTACTTTTGGAGTTGATTTTTAACTCCAAAATATTTTACTCCCAATTTCGATTGCTCCAAATATTTTACACTGTAAAAAAAGGAGTTAGATTTTAACTAGAGGGTTTACAGTGGGTTTATATATAAAAAAATTCCAGTAGTTAAAACTAATCGAAGTTGGGAGTATTTTCGGAGTTAAAAATCAACTCCAAGAGTGAGTTAATTTTATACCCAGGGAGTTAATGATAAAAGAGTTAAATAACTCACTTTTGGAGTTGATTTTCAACTCCAATAATACTCTCAACTTCGGTTGCTAGTAATTATTTAAATATTTTACTGTAAACAGTAAAAAAAGGAGTTAAATTTTAACACCCAGAGGGATTATATAAAAAATTTTGGCATTAAAAGCAAATGGGAGTTGGGAGTTTAATTTTTAGAGTTAAAAATCAACTTCAATAGTGAGTTAACTTAATTTTACTCCTAGGGAGTTAATGCTAAAAGAGTTAATCTAATATTAACTCACTTTTGGAGTTGATTTTTAACTCCAAAATATTTAACCTTCAATTTTGGTTGCTCCAAATATTTTACACTGTAAAAAAAGGGAGTCAGATTTTAACTAGAGGGTTCCAAGAGGGTTTATATAAAAAAATTCCAGTAGTTAATACTAATCGGAGTTAAGAGTATTTTCGGAGTTAAAAATCAACTCCAAGAGTGATTTAATTTTATACCCTGGGAGTTAATGCTAAATAACTCACTAATAACTCTCAACTTCGGTTGCTAGTAATTATTTAAATATTTTACTGTAAACAGTAAAAAAAAGGAGTTAAATTTTAATACCCAGAGGGATTGTATAAAAAATGTTGACATTAAAAGCAAATGGGAGTTAGGAGTAAAATTTTTGGTGTTAAAAATCAACTTCAAGAGTGAATTAATTTTATATTAACTCCCTTGGCTTCAAATCTAAAAAGATGCAATTTTTACGTTGGGAGTTAAAATCTAACTGAAAAAATCGCACTCTTTTGGAGTTGGTGCAAAGAGAGTTAGTCTAATATTAATTCACTTTTGGAGTTGATTTTTAACTCCAAATTAAAACTGTAAAAAAAGGGAGTTAGATTTTAACTAGAGGGTTCACCGAGGGTTTATATAAAAAAAATTCCATTAGTTAATATACTCATCGGAGTTGGGAGTATTTTTGGAGTTAAAAATCAACTCCAATAGTGAGTTAATTTTATACCTAGGGAGTTAATAATTAATTCACTTTTGGAGTTGATTTTTAATTCCAAAAATACTCCCAACTTTGAAAATTTTGAAAAGAAAGTTTATAAAACTTTTTTTGTTCCTTTTTTTCAATGTTATTTGCCAGAAAAAAAAGAGGTGTTCTTTTATTACAGCTGTGTTATCATTATCGCAGAATAAAATAGAGGTCTTTTGTATTATCAGAGAGCGATAAGTTTGCAAGCGCACCTGAATATGCCGGTGAGCCAATCCGCTGCTCTTCTGTGAGAAAAGCAGTAGTAGAGGTGGCCATCTTGCGCGGTTTTGCTTTCGACTTTTTTAGAGAGAGAGAGAGAGAGTCGCGTGGCTCACCTCTACTATTCTACAATATGCCTGCAGTATTCGTCGACTTTCGAGCCGTGACTGCCGTGCATACCCGTAGTTTATCCGCGTATTTTAATCACAAAAACAAATCACTTCGAGTTTATTTGTAATTTTAATTTTTTTTTTCTTCTATCAAATATCATGAAATTTTTTATTACTCCCCTATTGTCAAAATTATTTGACATCTATTTTCATGACTGTCATTGTATAATTTAAAAGACATTTCTTTTTTTTTTCAAACAACAGGTAGTTGACATACACCGGTGTAAATTAAAAAGAAAAAAAAAAACAATGAAAATTTACATTGTGCAAATGAAAATTTAATTATATTATAATTTTTCATATATCTATATTAAAAATGTGAAATGAGAATTTATTTAAAAATGTGAAATTTTTTTTTTTTATTAACATTCTTTGCGGAGGCTGAAGGTCTCGATTAATAAAGAATGGAGAACAATTAAAGTAACTATTCTTTAACAATTCTAAAAAAAAAAATAGAATTTTTTATTGAGGAAGTGTGTTTTTTTTTTTGAGAAGTGAAAAAATAATGTTTTTCATGCAATTTGGGATTTTTTATTTTCATTATATATTAAACATGTGCTTCGTCTAATGTCTTTTTGGAACCACGCGTGTACCAATAATAAAATTTTTAATAACCACAAAAGTGATAATCTCCAATGACAATT